CGTGAAATTGATTAAACATTTTTTCAATATCACACATCAATGCGGTAGAATACAGCCGGAAGCGAAGGAGAACACCATTGAGATTGTTCATCAGGTCTGGACCAGTGAGCAGATGATCGTTTAGACTGGTTCCCTTGTACTTGGCAGAACAGTCAAATACTATGCGCAGTTTATCTGGCTTCTTGGCATGATATACACCATGATGTGGTATGTACCATTTCTCTCCCTCCTTCCCTTCATCATGGACCTCCTCTGCATCACCTTTCTCTATGACCTCCTCCATGAACTTGACATACTGTTCCTTGTACCTTTCATCCCTTAACAGTTTCCTCTTTAGATGGCTCAAACGCATGATGGCAAGCTGTTTGTTGTCAGGTAAGGTAGGCCTCTTCTTAAAGGGTAGCGGCATCTCGTAATGACCTTGACTGTTCCTTTTAATGTTGTTCTTCATTTTGTCCAGGAACAGGATGTCATCCTGTGACACTGGTTTTCTATCTTCCTTTGCATCCTTAAAGTCAGACACCAGAATACGAATGGCATCTGCTGGGGTGACTGAAGGGATCTCCTTGACTGCAACCCTAAAGCACTGTCCTACTGTACTTGAAGCATACAGGCATGGTGACAAAACACCAACTGTGCTCCATCCTAAGTCGGTACGAACTGCATAAGGCTCTTCGTTTCTTCCGGATATTACGTCTCTTGGTGCCATTGCCCGTGCACAATTATATCCTATCAATAGACCAACCTCACAATCCTGCAAAGGTGGCATCTCATCTACGATTTTGGAGAGATGATTCAATTTTTTGGCTGTTTCGCATGTTGGGATATGGTCTCTGTTTACTGGTATACAATCTTTGGTATAAGCGGGAGGAAGATCGATGAGGAGAGAGGAGCGATAACCTCGCACACGAAGACCAGAAACCCTTTGGCTTTTTACGATCGTGTCACGTCCGATCATAGTCGTTAACCTCAGTTTGACTGGACAGGACTCTGCCTTTAGAGCAATGCTCAGTTCCTGGTCAACAAATGTTGTGTCGCTTTGTGTGTCCAGCAGGGCGTAAACTAATTTTTCTGTTCCTGTATCATTTGTTGACACCCATACAGGCACAATCATTGACGTGTTGGTTGACTGTCCAGTATTCACTGACATTGAGGTTGCAGAAGCCTCCGTCTGGACATCGTTGCTTGGAATAACGGTCTCCTGTGGTGGGACCATTTCCTTCTTTACATAGTTGTTATCGTGTAAACAAGTGGGATGTTTACCCTTGCATGTGTTGCATGAATGTCGATGTCTGCAGTCCTTTGCACTATGTCCGGGTTTGGTGCAGCCATAGCAGAGATTATGTTCCTTGACAAACTCTCGTCTGTCTTTCAGCGTTTTAGTGATAAACTTGGGACATGCATGTAGTCTGTGCTGATTGTTTTGACAGAAGGCACATGGGGGCCTTTCTTTTCCTTTAACTGGCTTCAGCTTCTCGCTCTCTGTCTCAGCCTGAGTGTTCAGAACGCTTGCCTTGTTCCTCTTAGGTTCCCTGCTGCTTTGTTTTGTAGTGCTTGACTCAGAGCTGCGGAGGGCATAGGCTGAGGTGATGGGATTGCAAGCAATCTCTGCCTCCATAGCCAAAAATGAGGCAAAGTCTTTAAAACTAGGGAATTCCTTAGTGTTCTTTAGGGCTTCAGTAACCTTCCTGTTCCAGTGAGATGCCATCCACTCTGGTAGTTTGAGGACCAGATTTTTATTCTCTTCACAGTCATTCAGAATTTCGAGACTCTTCACATGTGTCATCGCATCTTGACAGGCGTTCAAGAAATCTGAGAAGTCTCTTAATCCTTCTGCATCCCTTGGTTGGATCTTTGGCCAGTCGGCAAGCTTATCCCTGAAGGCTCTCTATAATGAAGGTTTGGCCATATCTGTCATCTAGTTTGTTCCACGCATCCTTGTAAGCGTCGGCGTCGCTGTCATTTCTATAGAAAATTCCTTCCAGTGTTTTACGAGCTGGGCCGCCAACATACTTCCTTAAATAATAAAGCTTGTCTGCTGGGGAGATGGCCTTTTTGTCTATAAGTGTCATGAAGGAAGTTTTCCATTCAATGAATTGAATGGGATCACCATTAAAAACAGATGGCTCTGGTACTGGAAGTCTGTTTAGTGCCATACTGTCTTGTAAGGCTTGAGCGAGGGATAACACATTTATATCAGATGGTGATGCCGTGACATCGGGAGCTGGATGGCTGACAGTAGGGGGGCCATGATGACTTCCAACTGAACTGTTGGCTGAATGGAGACTGCCTTTCTGTGAGGCTCCCTGGCTGTAGACTTGCAATCTGGCCCGGGCAGCCTTTAAGTTCTTTTCTGCTTGAAGGCGTTCAAGTCTGCGTTTTTCTACTTCCATTTGTCTCTGTTGCTCCTCTATTTTTTCCCTTTGTTGCTCTTCTTCCAGCAATCCTTCAAATTCAATCTCCTTAGCAGCTAGCTCTGCTGCTGCATCCACTTGTTTGAGTGTTAGACTGATGCTTTCATGACTGCAGACTGACCTTGTTACTCCAGAGGCAGTAGATCCATAGATTGAGCGTGCATAGCTGCTCTTAAGTAGCTCCTTGAGACGGCATTTTACTTGGTCTGCATCATAATCTCCATCAATGTCTGACATCCTCTCATAGGTAACTTTCATAATTTCGGCTGTAACTGCATCACAACTGTCAACATGACGTCTTAATTCTGGAGAAGGTGTAATGTGACTTCGCAATTCGAAGTAAGTGTTTAACACAGCCTCTTTCTCCTTCTCCAAAGCGTCCATCAAGGATGCCAGCTCACCTTTACTAATGTCTGATTTGAGTTGCTCTCTTGACTCTCGGGCCCGATTCTTCCATCTTTCGTAGGTTGTAATGAACTTTCTTTCCCTTTTCTTTGCCTCTTCCTGTTGCATTTCGAGCATTTTTGGAGTCTGTAATCTTGTTCGGGTTGAGCGTCGGAGGCCTTCTTTAAGTTTGCCTTGTAAGCTATTTAGAGTTTCTTCTTTGCTCTGTATTTCCCTTTCTAAAGATGCTATCCCAGTAGTTTCTAGTGTATTTTCAAGAGACGCTTTAAGTCTTCTGATTTCATTTTGCAGACAGACTATCTGATTCTCTAGCTCTGCTTGTAAAGAGGGGTTCTCCATCTCCTTCATATATTTTTTGTTTAATAAACCTTAGTTAATGAGCTGCTTGTGTTCACTCTGACTTGTAGACTACATTAACATAAGAGAATTTTTGCCAAGCTAAAACAGAAACTGATAACCAACACACGGCTCAGATGAAATGTATGAGATAATAAAAGTAAGCTACTATTTGTTGCTGACTGATGTGGTAATGTAAATCTCTTATTTTGAACACAAGTCAATACACCATCAAGACTGTACAGTTACACATTAAACACCTTTTTTCTTTTTTTCTTTTACATAGAATAAAAAATAAACAGTGGCAGTGGTAAATGCCACAAAACAAGTTCCTTTACTTGCAAATACTTTATGTCCGTAGTGTTTCAACAAAGTAAGTGTCCACAGAAGTTGATGTCCTAATGTTCCTTGACCACCGCTGATGAGAATCGATGTTCTTTCTTTGTCAATTAAAATAAATGTTCAATACCTTGTCTGACCGTCGCATCACACCTTTAAGCCTGATGATCGTGAAGAAGACCCAGAAAATGATGCCAAGTTGCTCGATGAAGTGACTGTCACCAACACCAGTCGAGTAGCAACACAGCTTCGTGACTTGTCCTTGTGGTTCCGTGTAGCAGAGTGGCAGCAGGATGATGCAGGTGCAGCTCTTACTGTAGCATTCCAGCCGGACTTTATTCAGACGATGCACTCAATGATCATAACGGATGGACCATGGTGGGGTATTCCAACCCATTTATTCAGAAATTACCATAGACACATCGTAAGAGCTGTAATTATAACATAAACAAACAAGAAAATCAACATTCCCGTCATATAACATGTTCCGCCTTTGCTAAATGAACCAAAAAAAAAGACAAAGCATGTGCTATCATTAGCTTGCTAGTTCACTCAGAAACTTGTTAACAAATAAGTAATATATTTATAAATTTAAACAAGAAACCATTCATAAACATGCCTGTTCGCCTTCCAGCTAGATGCTAAATTGAAGATGGATGGAAAACTCTAACCTTCTTCTTAACTTCCTTCTGGTAAGCAAAACAAAATCCTTCCCATCTCCGTGTTAAAAGAGCACCAGCGTAGTTACCAGCAAATGCATAACTGATTAGCTAACTGCCTAACCTGCTTCCGTTAATAAGTTAAAGGTGCCGTATTTCTGCCAAATAAAGCTTACAAGTTGGGCCCTTGGGTTAGAGAACAAGATAACGAGCATTAACGTTGGCAGTTAATAAAGTGTGAGCCGTTTATTTAGTATTTACATGAAGATAAACTGACGAAGATCCGAAACCGGAAGTCAGCGTTCTGAACTTCAAAATAAGAGTCATGTAAACCCTAAAACATGAATTACTCATGGATATTAGTATCTAAACAATACCAAAATAAACAAATAATCTGGGTTATTTACATCAATTAATCAACCGAAGCTTAGATTAGAACACTTAACGAAAACATATTTAGCCTTTAATAAACGAGGCAGTTGAATGCACAGAGTATGCATGTGCTGGCACATGGTCGGGATGGTACCACCTCTGCCTCAATTTGAGCCAGTAAAATCCCTGGTGATGATGACTTCTCATACCTTCTCAGTGGCTTAGTGGTAGAGTATCCACCCTGGGACTGGGATATCGGGGTTCAAATCCCAGTCGGGTCATATCAAAAACTTTAAAAATGGGACCCAATGCCTTTCTGCTTGACCCTCTGCTTTAAGGTGTTTGATTGTGGGGTTAAACCACCAAATTGTTCCACAGCTGCAGCTTACCGCTCTCCACGAGGTTCAAATGAGGAGATGTATTTCACCAGTGTGTGATGACTAATGGGAGTTTAACTTTGACTTTATCTCTGCAGGGTTTTAGTGCGACGAGCCCGAAAGCTGGCGCAGCAGTACTACCTGGTGTATCAGGAGCCAATTCCTACCGGCCAGCTAGTCCAGAGGGTGGCCTCTGTGATGCAGGAGTACACACAGTCTGGGTAGGTTTACACTCATTACACATGGGTTTACCTCACGTCAAGATTAAAGTAGTCTAAGATTGTCTGAGAAGCAAAGATGGTGGTGGACTTGTGAACCAAACTGGGAGCTGTTAAGGGTCATTAAAGGTTCTGCCTCCTGGCTTTTATTCTGGCAGAGACCAGTGATATGGACTGATGTGGTTGTTTATGTAGGCTGCTGCTTCAGAATCATTGGCTTTTGAAGTCATTAGAACGATTTTAAAAGCAATTTTAAACAGAGGTGCCAACATGGGAGAAATGTGGCCTCTGGTAGTGGGATTTTAAACTTAAGGTCGGAGCTGTAAGGGCTCCTGGTTTGGATCATAGCGCAGTGATCCAGTCTAGAGTGGGGTGAGCCATGAAGCCGTTTCTAGACTGGAGCTCCACTTTAGAATAATATCACCAGGTGTCACTAATGCCATCAAACGTCTCATTCATAATTGTCAGCCATTATTTGCGCTCCTCTGATTTCATTGACAAGCAGAGCTAGGTGTTGCATCTGTTGTCGTGGTTACACTGACATGTTTTGCTTTGTTTTTCTCTAGTGGAGTGCGTCCTTTTGGTGTGTCGTTGCTGATAGCTGGATGGGACGAGGACCACCCCTACTTGTTCCAGTCTGACCCCTCTGTATGTTGGTTTAATTGTTGTGTTTCTATTCTGACATGCGAGCCTTTACTAACTCCTGATGTTTGTACTCGATTCTGACCTGCAGGGGGCATACTTTGCATGGAAAGCCACGGCTATGGGAAAGAACTATGTAAATGGAAAAACATTCCTTGAGAAAAGGTACATATTTTAGAATTAAAGATAGTTGCATCATGATCTTTAAAGTCCTTGTGTTCCTAGAAGGGAACATATATCATCCACCTCCTTTGTAGGTAAAAGATCCACGTAATGGATTTTTTGGCTAAGAGTTGATGTTTTTTAGGCTTTTATTGTGAGTTTTGTTCAGGTAAAATTAAATATTAAATCCTTATTTTGTTTTTGCATCTTAGGTATAACAATGACCTGGAGCTAGAAGATGCCATTCATACAGCCATCCTGACTCTGAAGGTAGCCTGTGAACATTTGTTTTTGTTTTACCATTTGAAATGAAACTATTCACACGTTCTGTTTTGTGCTTCAGGAGAGTTTTGAGGGTCAGATGACCGAGGAGAACATCGAGGTGGGGATCTGCAACGAGGCAGGTTTTAAAAGACTCACCCCGGCAGAGGTGAAGGACTACCTGGCCGCCATCGCGTGATCACATCCTCCCTGCTGACTCGGCCCTCTGGCCACATTTCAAGACAGTGAATCAGCAGCACAGTAGCCAGTAGTCACATGATGTTATTTCCAGCTAGCATGCCTTAAATGTTACGGTGAAAGAGTTTGACTCAAACCGGAGTTGAACTATTCCAATCAGACAAAATCACAAATGTTGGTGTGAACAGTTAACTTTACAAATACATTTAGTTGGTCTATCATTGACAATAAGCCAACTTACCTTATACGGCGGTAACGTGGGATGTGGCTATTGGCTACTGTGCTGTCTAGAAGGAATTTGGGCTCTGGTGAGTGGAATCTCAAGTCGTCTGACGAATCCTCTTTAAAATCTTTTTGCATATGCAACATGTGATGTTTGAGAATCAAACACTGATGTATTATGCATTAATTATAAATTCTGACTGTTGCCCTGAGTGTTTTTGTGGACTCTGGTTGCATGGAGTAAAAGTTAAAATATCAGATTGACACGTATGAGATCTAAATCTCAGCCTTTGTTCTACAAAAGGCTTTCTTTTTGCATCTTGGTTCATCCTCAAATGCTTTTAGGACAAACAAAAACAAACAAGTGAAGTGGGTTTAATGGACAGTCTTGAGATTTCCTCATCAAGATCTGGTTGACTGTACAACTTTTACACAATGTTTTCTTTTTTCAGGTTAGAAATAGTTCTGAAATTTGTATTTTCTCTTCTGCAATCTGTCACTTATTCAAATAAAATATGACTATCTGTTTTGGAGTCATGGTTTTTAAATTATTATGGTATTTGGAATAATGTAATCAAAGCGATGTCAGGTCTATAAATGAGCGCGCGCGCCCTAACGTCTTACCGGATCACCTTTTGGTGAAATGTGTACCCCTCCGCTTGTTTACTTGTTAAAGCTCTCTGCTTTAGTCCAGCGATGGCTGCAGAAGTGACCACTCAGGGGTCCTACTCTGCTCACGTGTCATAATTAATGTATTAATTTTACACTTTGATTTATATTACAATTTTAAATTGGGATCTATTTTTATGCACGGCAGCTCACTGCTCACCACATAACTTCCGATGACGTTTATGGCGCCAGAAATCAAGGGTTTAGATAGGAGCTGTAGCTGTTCGGTCTGAGGCAGATCTTAGATCCGTCCTGATATGAGAGCCCTACTTTAAAAGCCACAATATCGAGTGATTTTCGCGTCGTTCATGGTTTTATAAAAGCCAAGATGGTGGTCCTACGCAGCAGCGGTGGTGTCGGCGCTGAGCCCGAGGCAGCTATCCCGAAGAGGAGGACGGATGAACTGGACTCGAGCTCCGAGTTTGTGTTGCTGATTCCCGCGTCGCGTAAAAAGTCGGCTCGGCTGACTCGGTCCTCTCGGTCCCTGAATGACAGCTTCAGTAGCCCTGAAAACATCGTGGTGAATGTAAGCGAATGCACAGAAGACAACCTGTGACCTAGCTGTTCTGCGGTTAACTTTAGCTAGCGCGCTAAAGCTAAACACACCTTTCTAGCTGACTGGTTAGCCTCAGCATTAATAAATAACCTGAGTTTGTTCAATATCCTATTTAAATATTCTGATATGTTTTATTAGTAAATGTCCTACAGATTATTATTGCTATTAACTATTAATAATCATAGACTGGAGCCAAATTTCAGATAAAGAGTTTGCAGGTATTTGATTTCTTTTTTACTTTCAGGAGCTTGTGTTTGTGTTAAACAAAAGCCACTCCACTGGTTCTGTTATATTGTTGACGAAGATGTCATCATGCCTGACAGGGTTATGATGATGACAAGCTGGAGGATGGAGGTCTCAGGACTAGAGCACGCAGAGTTAAACTAGAGAGATCTTTAGCTGACTTGGGTTCAAACACCAGCACTCCTGTGAGTGGAGACCGAGCTGATGGCTGCTGCACCAGGTAACCATAACACTGGGTAGCTTTTGACTAGTGATGCACCGATACTAAATCTTTGAGCCAATATCCGATATTTGCCTATATCGACATACTGACATTAATGCTTCTAAAATCACCAGATTCTGTACAGAATAAAAATTATTAAAGCTGAATTTACGTTATTTTGTACACACACCACACATTTACACTTCTGAGATGATTACAATCACTGTGACATGACTAAACAAACACACATCACCCCTCCCCACCCCACCACCCACCCTCTGAAACAGGCAAACAAATTGTGATGAGATGGAAAAAATATCGGTTGATACTATCGGCCCGTTTTTTTTTTAATTAGACCAATAACTAACATCGTCCGATTCTGATATTGATGCGTATATATTGTCCATCCCTACTTTTGACTTTAGTTTTGTAACACGATGAAACATTTTCAATTGGCTGCCTACAACCACCTGTTGTAGTTAGAGGTTAAACAAAACAGTCACTCATTTGAGATTCCTTTGGATTCAAACAAATAATTTTTTTCAAACTTTTTGAGAAGAAATGAAGCTGGACCACCAACCCTTAAGGGACTCGGCAAAAATGTCTCTAAACATATTTTCTTTATGCCCAAACGGCCTTGGTGTGCTGACAAGCACAGAAGATAATATTCTAGTATTTGATTTAAATCTCTGTTTTTATATGATCAGAATTATTTGACTTATAAAAATGTAAAATTAATGTCTTGTAAAGTCCTTCAGCTGGTGGTAAGGCATCACAAAGCTGTGTGCGCTTGCTGAATTAAACCGACAAATGAAATGAAAATCGGTTCTGATTGTGGATTCCTGCTCGTCTCCAGGAAATCTTCACGGCTGCGGCAGGAGGCGAAGGCGTCCCGTGAAAAGCAGCGAGCAGGTATGAAACGCAATACAGCATCACTTTAGAAAGGATTCAGCACAGAAACCACGCTGAAGTGTGTTCAGTTATTGGTGGCTTGTACTGCTGTGGCCCACAGACTGGACTCAGTGGTCTTCTTTAAAACGCAGCTGAGTATTAACCTGTTCAGGCTGGCTTCGGCTGATTCTTAATCACTACCTTCTCTTCATTCTATTCTTTCTGCCGATTCTGTCATACCACTGATAGCCTTTTCTTGTTCATTTTCTATTTCCTCCCTTTTTTTAATCACAAAGTGTGAAGTGCCTCGTGATCTTTAATTTGTGAGGTACTATATAAAAGCTGGTCATTTCTTCTCTCAGGCGTTCTGGATGAAGTGGAGGGGTCGTCTACTCCCAGAAGGAGTCGATTCAACTTACGGAGTCGAGAAGAGGAGGAGGATGAGGAAGATCACTCGGTGAGACGAAGCTCCAGAATCACCAGATACAAACTGAACTCCAGGAATCAGTCCGTGCTGTACGACCGCCTCATTACCAAGTGAGTCACCTGATCCTGACCCCAAACTCCACTTCCTGTGAAAACCTCTCTGGTTCATTTACAGATAGGGTTGGGCATCGATTGGAACTGGGACAGATTTTCATTTTTTTTCCCAAAATTGTTACAATTTTACGTTCCAATTCCCAGTTTTGCTGCCCAGTCCACCAACTGGAAGAAGAAGCCATCAATTACCAATGAAAATGAATCCTCCAGAAATGTTGTATTACCACAAAATTATGGAAAATTCCAATGAACGCCTTTCAGAGCCTATTATCCAGCATATTTCGGTGTTCTCCCTGTTCCAACACACCTGATTTAAATCAGTTGGTGATCATCAGGCTTCTGCAGAGCTTGATAACGTGGTGAACAGGTGACTGAACCAATGAGGTGTGTTGGAGTTAAAACATGCATGCATCCAGGTCCAGGATTGCCTACCCCTGTTGTAAACAAACATGTCTACCGAACTTTTACTCCGTCTGTGAGTGATGTAAACTTAGCATCCTGCAACAAAAAAATTCTGTGCAGGGAAGCTTGTTAAAAAATGTGTCAACACAGCATATTTAATACGACTTTTAAAGCTGCAATAGCAAATCTGCAAAACAAGCTAGCTTTTAAATCCAAACACGGTCACAGATCACTCACCCCTCCCGTCGGCTATCCTCCCTGAGCTACGTCCACCAGAACCGCAATGCCGGAGGAAACGAGATAGCGCTAAACAACAGTCGCGATTTTCTACATCCAAACGTCTTGTCCGTGACTTCAAATAATGTTTTTCTTTTTGGGACTCTGTTAATTTGTCTTAAAGTTGGAGTGGTAGCAGCTGGCTGTTCCTCCTTCTCTGATATTATTGAGTGGAGAACCTCGCACACCAGTGGCGTCTTGTTGCTAAAATACAGGAGTACGTTATGATGGAGGACCCATGGAAGTGTTCTCCTTTAAAAATCGGGTGAACATTCACCTGTTCACCTTCTGCTGATTCCTCCCCACTTCATTCTCTTCTTGCTGCTCCCTCTACCTATTTCTTCCTTTCTCAGGATCTCACATTACCTTTTTCCTATTCATTTTTGTCCTCATTCTCATTTTTCAGTTTAAATTAAAAAAATTGTTTTGCCTTTTTTATTATTTTTTTAAATTTATTAATTTCTTTGTCCTTGTGATTCATCTTGAGAGGCCCTATATAGAAAATAGTTTTTTCTTCGTCTTTATGAACGTCAGAAGGCTGAGCAACTAACCTGAAAAATAATAAAGTCACGGTGCTAGATGACACCGGGCTCCACCCGCTAAGAGCTGCTACGGGTAATTGAGAAATCTACAACATGCATTTAAGGTGATTTTATTCCGTTTTACCAGATCATGTAGTTTGTAGCGCTCAGTATGACTACATAGAAAATGTTTGGACATTCCATGTGTTCGATGTTGGTCGGCAGCAACAAACCGGACCGGAGCATCCCTGGCAGCTTCACTTTAGAACGTTTTGAAGTGGAATTCATCAAGTTAGACTTGTGGTTAGTCGGCTCATTTAAAGCATAACGTTTTGGGATCCTACCTTTTAAAATAATCTGAATCCAAAAATATTGCTAGGAACCAGAATCGAAACAACTGGAATCTGACCTGGAATGGTTCCGATTCAAACGATGCCCTATTTACAGAGAAACTCTTGATTCCAGTCTCCTGATTCGGTCCTTCTGCTCTTTAGCACAGCTGAAGCTGTTCTTCAAAAGATGGACCACATGCAGAAGATGAGACGCCGTTTGAGGAGCAGAGACAGAGAAACTGAAGAAGAGGTGATGATCTGTTCAGAGCCTCAGATTATTTTAGTTACTAACAACCGTTAATCCGTGGAGCTGATCAGAGTTTGCCATTTCCAGGTGGGTGTGTACACCAAAGGCAGGAGGAGGAGGTCTGTGAGGACGACTGACATCAGTAAGAAAACTGAGGAGACCAGCCAAGGTGAGGGGGTTAGTGCCCACTTCATAGACATCACAGGGCAATGTGAGTCCAGCTGCTTTACTCGCCTCTCAGCAGTGGAGGAAACTGATTGAATTTTTAGAGCAGGGCCCCTCATTTATAATGGTCCGAGGGCCACTCATTAAAAAAAGACCCAGAAGCAAGAGGTCTGGACTGGGGGGGTCTGTTGTATGATTGTCGGACTGCTGTTTGGATTGCTGGCTGTAAAGCACATAATACACAAGCTTGACATATAAATTAGAACACCTGTCCCCCTCCAGCTTGGCTGTGTGACTGCACTAACCTGTCCTGTGTGACCCTCACCATGTAACCCTCATGCTGTCTCTGGAGGAGCAGATAGGAAACGAGACCTCCTGTAACTTAAAATGAACCAAAGCTTCCTCCCAGTTTCTCTTTAAGTTGAATTTAACATCAATCATCATGAAACAAAAATTCTATCTTCTTTTTCTCTCTACTTTTAACTTCTCTGTGCCCCTAAATACAAGAGACATGATTACACTGCAGCTGCCGTCACTCGCTCTCTCCCCAAGACTGGATCTCCCGACATCACTACACTCAGTCTGACTGAGCGCTTTGAGGAGAAATAATAATGAAATTCTGAAAATAATGCGTGTTTGGAGGAGCGTCCTCCGATCCTCTCTCTGGTGTGAGCAGACCCCCCCCCCCCCCCCCCCCCCCCCGTCGCTGACCGAGCGAGCGTAGCGGGCTGCATGACAACCCACTCAATTAACATAATTCATGGCCCAAATCCAACAGAACCGATCGGGCTGATTCGGTTCGGGTTCTGTCTCAGATTACAACTCCAGCACTCAGCCCTGCAGTACCACATACAGGCGGGCCAAAGTTTCTTACCCGGTAAATGTGGAGAACACCCACTCTGACAGATGTGGATGCTACGCTGGTGCTGCCGTTAAAATAACTGAACTACATTCCACTATAATCGATTATGGCTACTCTTCTGTGATGCAGAATTGTTTATGCCCTCATCTCAATGCTTTGACTATTTTCCTCAGCTCTATCTATCCTACACCTCCTGGTCAGCCGTCGGGGTGGGGTGGGTGGTGCGCGCGGGGTTCAGGGGCCACAAAGAGAGGGCTCGCGGGCCGCCTATTGAGTACTGCTGGTTTAGAGACTGAGGTGCAGCTTTTCTTGTTCTCTAGAACCTGATGACACACATCTTATTCACTATACTTATTTTAGCTAAAGCAGTTATCCGCAGCTGTAATGATCTCTACAGGGTTTTTTATCCTTAGTAGAATAATTATTTAAATGTGCATTTTAGTTTTCTTATTCTTATTGCCTGTTAGATCAGTCCTGAGTCATCACTGCATAAATAAACATGCTTTGGTTTTACTCACAGAAGAGGAGGAGGAGGATGATGAGAATGATGATGAAAGAGAGGAGGAAGAGGAGAGAGAAGATGATGATGATGAAGAAGGAGAAGAAGAGGAGGAGGAAGAAGAAGATGGCGAGGATGAGGAGGAAGAAAACCAACAACGATACGACTTCAGGCAGAGGAAAACGGTGGTTCGATACCAAGCCCCACTGGACGGTACGGAGCCCTGCAGGTGAAGCTCCCGTTTGACTCTCTGGTCCAAAATGTCTCTGATCTGTTTGTTTTTGGACCAGAACCCCGAGAGCCCAGGAAACGCAGCCTGTACTATAAGGAGCACTCGTCTCCCAACAGACGCAGGTTCAGGTTCAGCTCCACGGCTCCCAGAAGCCCCTACAGCAGGAGGAGAACCAGCAGGTCGGGATGTCATGACTTTATTGACAACATGAGAATGTTGTCACACACACACACCTTTAATCTGTGTTGTTGCTACATGTTCGGTCCATCCCAAAGTTCTTAATGTTTTTTTTTTTTTTCTGATTTCCGTGCTTTTACCATCAGGAGTGGTTCTGAGAGGTAAGCTCTGTCTGTTGGTGTTGACGGGTCGTTGTTTGTTCTCGGCACTGCTGCACGCTCCCCTCGTGCTTTGGCGTTCTTGTTAACGGGGCTGCAGCAATGTGCGGTTGTTACTTTATACTAGGGCTGGGCAATAAATTGAAAATGTATTGTTGTTGAAATTTCTGATTCATATCGAGATAATTTTTCCCACGTCAATAAATTTGATAATAAAAAAAATGAAAAGATGCGTGTAGGTTAGCAACGTTCATGAAGCTGTACCACCTTGGGTCACAAAAAAAAGTGACACAATGTAATTCATGTGACAGCCCCATCTAGTGGACAACTTTTGTTTCTGCGCATACCTGTAGTTATCGTCCATTTAACGTTATCGAGGTGAAATCCTCAATATATCGTGATATTGATTTTAGGCCATGTCGCCCAGCCCTACTTTATACTAAGTTTATAGTGACATCATGTAGATTCAGACAAGACTCATCAGTCCTGCAGAAATAAATGCAGTTTTATTAAATGGTCACAATCATGTTTTTGTTTAACATGATTAAGAACCCTTACATGTAACTGATATTTACTCCCCTTGGCTTTTTAATGTAACATTTGCATTTTTGGAGCTTTTTTGTTTACCGAGCTGTTGTGCTGGTGGACGCATGTTCGGGGGTGCAGCTGAGGTTTTGTGCACGGTGGTGGGATCATTTAAACGGTTTATGCTAGCCGGGACTCACTCCCTCTACAAGTGCTGCATAAATGCTCATGAACAGGTTTTAATCCTCACTGGCATTCATGGTTCCTGTGTTGTTGCAGATAGAGAAACGTGATGTTTGCTGTTTTGTTTAAAATGAGCTCCTCTAACCTGGCAGGAGGAGACACGCCATCCACAGCAGCGACTCCACGTCCTCCTCCTCTGATGATGACAAGTTCCAGAGGCGTCGGAGCAAAAACAGGAGCATGTCTGTCAACAGGTGCGCGGATGTCTACCTGTGCAGACAAGAGGAGACATAATCCCGACTCAGGGCTCCTTATGTAGCTTTGTTCCATTCAGTCTCTGTGGCATTATTTCATATTTAAATCCTGAGTTACTTTATTTTTTGTGTATTTTCTACTAATATACTTATTTATGTATATAAATATTTTCTACAGATGTTTGCCAATGAACCTGGTAAAAGACGACCTTCTGGGGATCCAGAAGGACAGGATGAAGATTGGAGCCAGCCTGGCGGACGTGGACCCCATGCAGATTGACAAAACGGTCATTTGTTTCTCCTGTTTCTCGTGTACATGAGTAGTCCCACACCATTTCTGAACATGAGAAGTGAGAAGGATCCTAACCGGTTTCTGCAGGTTGGCTTTGACAGCATCGGCGGGTTGAGCCGACACATCTCAGCCCTGAAGGAGATGGTGGTGTTCCCTCTGCTTTACCCAGAAGTGTTTGAGAAGTTCAAGATCCAACCGCCCAGGTGAACCATGGCTCTCCTGCCATGTTAACGTTAAAGTTGATCACATCGTTTGTCCTTGTTCAGAGTCTCTGCTTCATCTCCCTTCTACCTCAAACCTCCTCTTCGTGTTTTCAGGGGCTGTCTCTTCTACGGCCCCCCCGGCACCGGGAAAACCCTGGTAGCTCGAGCGCTGGCCAACGAGTGCAGCCGGGGAGACAAGAAGGTGTCGTTCTTCATGAGGAAAGGAGCCGACTGCCTTAGCAAGTGGGTGGGAGAGTCTGAGAGACAGCTAAGGCTGCTGTTCGACCAGGTAGGGTCACCTGAGTGTGGTGAGGGATGGTCACGCCTGTGGACCTCTGGTATTAATCCTCTCTCTGGATTATCAGGCTTATCAAATGCGTCCATCTATCATCTTCTTTGATGAGATTGATGGTTTGGCACCGGTCCGATCCAGTCGCCAGGACCAGATCCACAGGTTAGAACCTCACTCTAAAGAAGGTCCTCGCTGTTCTGCCGGTGTTGAGCCTTTCTTCTGTCCCTAGTTCCATCGTGTCCACCCTCCTGGCTCTAATGGACGGACTGGACAGCCGAGGAGAAGTGGTTGTCATCGGAGCCACAAATAGACTGGACTCCATCGACCCGGCTCTGAGACGACCCGGACGCTTCGACAGAGAGTTCCTGTTTGGCCTCCCGGACAGAGAGGTGATGATATTAATCAAATACTAGGGATAAGCCGGATACTCGTTTCAGACTAGTATCCGGTACAGATAAAGCATTTTTGACGAATACGAGCATGAAACGAGTAAAACTCGTAAATATCTGTAATCGTGCTGAAAGAAAATCCTCATTGGGTAACTGACTGTCTTCACGCTCTGTGATTGGCCAGTCACATAGAGCGCCCGCCCCTCCCTACACACAAAACTCTAGCCGGCCGGGAGCGCAGTCCGTCCGGTTCATCCACGCACACACACAGACAGTAACGGATCTCGCTGTGATTGCTTCACTGTTGCTCACGTTTCTTCAGTTTTCCCTAGGTTTTCTTCAGCTCGCCTCTTTTTCGGTTGAATATTTAAAGTTACTTTTTTCGTAACGTACATGGTGCATTTGACAAGACAGAGCTGACGTCCTGCGTCAGTCACACTCCGCTCCGGTCGGGTTTTTTATTTTTTTAACTCCATCTCTCTCCCTCTCAATCTCTCTCAGACACACACACACACACACACCTTAATCAACATTGTTTTGTTTAACTTTGTGTGGGGCAAAATGCCAAGAACGTTAAGAAAAAAATCAGTTTAATCAAATTAAAATAAACAATATACATAAAGTTGTGTCTGGTTCTAGCATTTCATACTTCCTAGTTCCTACTGCATGAGTTCAGATGCATTAATTCATGCACTTAAATATTAATGTTCTGATTTTATTGAAACACTTGTTCTGTAATAGTTTCTTTACTATTGTGATCAAAAATATTTAATCTAAATTCTGAGGCTGCTCTGTAAATAGTTTTCTAATAAACCACACACACATCAACTTCTGATCATTCCATATCAATTTCAGACTTAAAATAATATATTGATGTAAACCACGCCCACTCCCGGTTAAACCACGCCCACTCCCGGGGTATGTCACGCCCATTCCGAGTACAGATACAGATAGTGGTGTATTCCCTATCAAATACCTGACTATGATCCTTGAAGCACAGTTCAGAGGCCAGTTTCAGTCAAGTAATCATAAAATCTGCATCAAAACTTTTATCATTTTTAACATCGTAGGATGTGTGATCAGGTTTCCCACTTGTTTCTGAGCTTAAACTAGATTTTTTTTTCTGTGCAGGCGAGAAGAGACATTCTTCAGATCCACACCAGACAGTGGACCCCTCCGCCCTCGGAGGCGTTCCTGGAGGAGCTGGCAGATAAATGTGTTGGTGTGTTTGTGTTCAGTGGCGTTAAAACGACCTTCTGGTGCATCTCTGAGGCCGTCATCAGTCTGATTGTGTGTTTAAGGCTACTGCGGAGCAGACATCAAGGCGGTTTGTTCAGAGGCGGCCTTGTGTGCCCTCCGGCGCCGTTACCCACAGATCTACTCGTCCTCACAGAAACTCTTACTGGATGTGAACTCCATCATCATCACTAACAGAGACTTTAGCACAGCCATGTCCAAGATGGTGCCAGCTGCCCAGAGGTAGAGACCCCCCCCCCCACCACCCCCCTTACTGTGATCATTAGTGTTGCTACGGTGATGCTGATGAGTTTGTTTGTCCTTTAGAGCTGTAGTGTCGCCAGCCAAAGCTCTGATTCCTGCCATCCAGCCTCTGCTGAGCTCCACCCTGCAGAATGTTCTCCTCATCGTCAGCAGGGTGTTTCCTCACGCCGAGCAGGGGCTGAAGAGGAAGAGGCAGCGAGGTGGGTTTGGTTTATGGGGCGTGTCCATTTGAATGACTGTTTTTATTTGCTGGTGTGGGTTGATGTGTCCAGATGCGACCTGTGGAGCGTCTGAGGATGATCTGATGTATAGTGAGGAAGAGGACGAGTCCTCGGGTGGACCGACTGCTCAGGACCGACTCAGGACACCAGCTACCAGCGGCCTTCTGAGCCTCAACAGGTAGATCAGAAATAACAGGGTCTGTTATTGTGGTAAATATTAGGCAAGGCAAGGCAGCTTTATTCATAGAGCACATTTCAAACAGAGGCAATTCAATGTGCTTTACAATTTTCAGGACATGATATGAAAACACATAAAAACACAAATTTAAATACACACAAATAGAATTACAGTTTAGAGCTAAAGGAGAAGACAAAGCTACAGCGCAGATTACAGTGGAGATGATACATGATAAGAAACAATTCATTTAAGGCTGATGAGTACGTTAGAGGTTTTAGTTTTGTTTTAAACAACAGTAGGATTGGGGCACATCTGACGTCCTGGAGAAGCTGATTCCAGCTGTGAGCAGCATAGTAACTAAATGCACCTCCACCATGTTTTGTTCTGACCCGTGGTTCTACCAGCTGATTGCTTCCAAGAGATCTCAGCCCTATTGGGTGTATATTCAGGAATGAGATCGGACATGTATTTTGGCCCCATGCCATTGAGTGATTTATAAACTAGTAGGAGCACTTTGAAATCTATTCTGTAGTTTACTGGTAACCAGTGTAGAGATCTAAGAACAGGAGTGATGTGCTCCGTTCTCTTAGTTCTTGTTAAGACTCTAGCAGCAGCATTCTGAACAAGCTGCAGTTGCTTCACAGCTTTTTTGGGAAGACCAGTTAGGAGACCGTTGCAGTAGTCCAACCGACTAGAAATAAAAGCATGAATAAGTTTCTATTAGAAACATTTTGTTTCTATGGAGACCAACAGTGTTGTTGGTGTCACCTGATGGGGTCTCCTGTGCAGGTGCGTGTTGAGCCAGCCAACCTCCTACCGCCCGCGGCTCCTGCTGGAAGGACGACCGGGATCGGGTCAGACCTCCCACCTGGCTCCTGCTGTCCTCCACGCCCTGGAGAAGTTCACCGTCTACACGCTGGACATGGCCGTCCTGTTTGGAGTCAGCGCAATGGCACCGGAGGAAACCTGCGTCCAGGTAAGAGAGACGGAGACGTACCTGCTCGGGGGGGTTCTGCAGCCTTGTCAAATTCAGTGGGCCTGTTCTCATGGACCTCACTGGCCAAAATGGCTGCCACATCAGCTGTAGCTCATGGGCCTTGCCTTCCTGCGCGGTGGGAGGTGGGGATAAAAATTTTCTACAGACATTTGATTTACAGTCTAGATGAAAAAAAGGTTTTGTCTGATGGAAACAGCTTTTTAAATCCTGACATTTTCATAAACAGGATTTCCTGACGCATAAAAAAAAATCTTTAAAACCAGAAACATTTTGCTGCATCTCTGATTGCTCCAGCATCTGTTTGTTTTCATTTGAATCAAACAGAAATGTCAGAGCACAGCCTTGAGCCTTTTGTAGACCCGATCCTGCGCTCTAACCGGCGTCGTAAACGTGTTTGTCTCCGGTGCAGATATTCGCTGAGGCCAAGCGGACGTCTCCCAGCATCTTGTACGTCCCACACATCGAGCAGTGGTGGGAAACCGTGGGTCCTGCGCTGAGAGCGACCTTTCTGAGCCTCCTGAGCTCCATCCCAGCCTTCTCCCCCATCCTACTGCTGGCCACCTGCAGCCTCCGCTACCACCAGCTCAGCCTAGAGGTGTGCAGAAAACAGTTGGATTATCTCCATCAAACGTGCCGCATATCAGCAGTTTGGTGAAATTAAAATAGTTTGTCTTGATTTGCACTCATCACAAGACCGACTCCCTCACTGCAGGTGCAGGAGCTGTTTCGGGGTGAACATGGAGAGGTTTTCCAAGTCCCGCTCCCAGGCAGCAGAGAGAGGAGGAAATTCTTTGAGGATCTGATCCTGAACCAGGCTTCCAAAGCCCCTGCTTCCAGGAAGAGAGCTGGTAAGACGTGGATCAGATTCCTCATGTGTTTTTATGTGTAGCTACAGAACAGCGGTGCGTAACCGCCAACCGTTCAAACATAAACTACAAAATGCTGCAAAAATAGATAATTTCACTCCTGATTTCTCAGTGCTTCATGCTTTGGAGGTGCTTCCCGTGGCACCTCCACCCCCACCCCGCCAGCTAACGGAGGAGGAGAGCCGACGTCTGGAGGAGCAAGAAGAAGACACGCTCAGAGAGCTCCGCCTTTTTCTGCGTGACGTCACGAACCGCCTGTCTCAGGATAAACGCTTCAAGGCTTTTACCAAACCTGTGGATTTGGAGGAGGTGCATTTTCTGTTTTCCACCAGAATGAAGTTAAAACTAATTTTAACAAAACTGTTTTCTTGTTTGTTCCGAACATGAATGAGTTCCATCAGAGTCATGAAGCTGTCGCGTACGACTCCGTAGGTTCCAGATTATGCTGAAGTGATCAAGAAGCCGATGGATCTGTCAATGGTTCTGTCCAAGATCGACCTCCATCAGTACGGAACGGTCAAAGAGTTTCTCCAGGATGTGGATCTCATCTGGCAGAACGCACTGGAGTACAACCCAGACAGGGACCCTTCAGGTGGAGATGGAACCATTGGGATGGTAAATGACTTCCGTTCTGATTCTAAACGTCAACACTTGTTGCAATGTCCTCCAGATCGTCAGATCCGCCACCGAGCGTGTTCGCTGAAGGACACGGTCCACGCCATCATTCGAGAGGAGCTGGACGAGGATTTTGAGAAGATTTGTGAGGAACTCAAAGAGTCGCGAAAGAGGAGAGGTCGGTGCTGAGTCTAGAAAGTCTTTGGCTTCTATGTGTCTTATCCGTATTTGTCAAACATCACACTATTTTAAGGTTTTCAGAGTTTCCTCGTGCTAAAGTTTGTTTTAGTTGTTTAAACCAGGCTGGAACTGCAGGACTGGTTTCCACATCAGAATCAAATGTTTCTTCAGGTATTTTTCTGACTAAACACTTATGCTTTCTCTTTGCAGGTTGCTCCACTGCACGTTTCACTCCCACCTTCTACCACGTCCTCCCCAAGCAGCCCAAACCAGCTGCAGACACATGCATCACCAGCACGCTGCCTCACAGTGACAAAGTCAAGCCTATAGCTGCTGCTGCTGCTTCTAGCATCAACGTCTCTGCTGCTACAACTCCCAAACACTCAGGTATTAATCACATGAAACACAATAAAGTGTGGAAACTCTGCTGCAGATAAAAGCATTTGCTTCTGTCGCTTTAGCCCAGAAGAAGAAGCGTCGGAAAAGTCGCTGGTACACTGGCCACATCGCAAAGAAGAAGCGCTATTCTTCTCATGTTGGCAGAGATGATGCACAGGCGGGGTCTGATGGAGATGGAGACGATGAGGAGGAGGTTGGGAAGGTGGAGCATCAGGACGAAGATGGAGGCCAAGATGGATGCTCTGAGCCAGTAGGAAAAGCACAGAGCAGTCAGCAGGAAGAACTAGAGCATAAAGATCAGGAATCAGCTGTTGGAGAGGACATCACCAGCCACAAACTAGGGAATAACAATCAGACACAAAATAAAGACGAAGAAGTCCTCAAAGAAGAGTCTGCAAACAAGGAAGGAGACGAGAATGATGAAAATATCCTCGTGAACAACGCTAACAGGAATAGCTGCACAGAAACATTGAGCACCAGCATCACTGACCATCAGCCAGACCAGGATCAGGCTGCAGAAGATCAGAACCTAAGGTTAGTTGGAGGAGAGAAGAAGGAACTGAATGGTCCATCTGAGCCGATGGAGACAGAACCAACGGAACCTTCAGACGATGCAGCTGCAGGAGCAACAGACACAGGACCAGGTTGGTAAAGTCATCTTTGTGCTTTCTGGTTTACAGACGGAGTTCAGCAGCTTTCTTTCTGCTTGTCCTGGTGAGTGACCAAGCTAAAAAAAAAAAAAGCGCTGGGGAAACCCAGCTCTCATCTCCGTTATCATCCTCAATCCTTTGATCGACATCTTACCTGATCACACAGACTAAGAACGGTTGTGACGGCTGGATGGCTGCAGAAAGGGTCCCCCTAGCTTAAATGTGTGCTGTCAACAGATGTGTTGCATAAACCCGTGCATCTGTGTGTGTTTAGTCCCAGAACATAACGTGAGGAGAATGACTCGAGCTCTGAAGAGCACCGTGCTGCAGCAGCAGATGATCTGTGGGGACCAGGCTTTGCAGACCCTGGACCAGGAAACGCCGCCTCTGGTGGTGGACAGAGTCAGACTAAAGGTACGCCCACATGTGGAAACAAGTCCTGCGTGCAGTTGTGTTTATGTCTCCTGATTTCTTCTCCAGATTAAATTTAGCTGTAATCTTTAGGAGCTCTTGGACAGAGTAGTGACACAGACAGAAGGCTACGAGGTCTACAAGCTGGAGAAACTCTACGCTGTTCTGTGTCAGAGCATCTACAGACACAGACGAGACCACAACAAGACTGCACTAATACAGGTTAGTCTGGATTACCTTTCCATCAGTAAAAGTGACAGGATTACCAGAGTTTCTCTGTTTGAGTCCATGGTTTCTTTTTTTGTTTCAGGAGTTGGAAGAAGAAGCCAAAAACTTTTGTTTTCTGTGACTTTTCTTCAGGATAAACATTTTTATTAGTCGTTTCATTGTGTAAACATAAAAACACTGATTGTATTTTCACAAGAGTTTTTCTAGTCCTTGATATTTGTGCTTTAGTTTATACTCCTCTTGTTTCTTTGTAATTAAAAGTTTTTCTCTTATTTTGTGCTTTTATTTCCGAGTTTAAGATTCTAACCAGAAAACAAACGTTTTAAAGGATGCAGCAAATGTCACCGAGCCGGTCCTCGTTCAGCAGTTCCATCATGGAGTCCTGATCACTAGATTAGACTTTTATTTATCTGTGAGGTGGACAGAAAGCCAGCCTAACCCAGGAAACTTCAGCTGATGTTAAAGGATTATTTTACCACTTTATTTATATTAGGAGGTAGAAATCCGCAGGAGTACAGTTCCTGACAAAAGTCATGTTGCTTGTGAATGTTGTAGAAACGACTGCTATTAGCCTGACTTTTAATTGATCAATTGGTGTTAGAAATAGCTTATATGAAAAGCTAAAGCCCTCCCAAATAATGTTGAATGTACTGAAAAAATATATTTTCACTGAAAAAAGATGTGTCATTTAATCAAGACAGAAAGGTCAAAATCTGACAATACAAAGGTGTTGTCTATACAGAAAATGATCAACTTAAAACCAAATCCAAAAATATATCAGCTAATTACATAGTGGTGCTGTGAGATCCAAATTTAATATATCTTTTATGACTTCCATGAGCTTCAAGGACAGCATCCATGCAGTATGGCAATGATTCATACAACGTATTGATGAAGTCATCAGGAATAGCAAAGAAAACCATTTTGCATGCCTCCCAGAGTTCATCAACATTCTTTGGTTTTGTCATTTATGCTTCCTCATTCATCCTACCCCACATATACTCAATGATGTTCATGTCTGGTAACTGGGCTGGCCAATCCTGGAGCATCTTGATGTTCTTCGCCCTAAGGAACTTTGATATGGAGATGGAAGTATGCGATGGAGCACCATCCTGCTGCAGAATTTGGCCTTTTTTATGGTTGGGAATATAAGAGGTAGCTAAGATTTCTTGGTATTTGAGACTATTCATGTTGCCTTCCACTCTGCAGATCCCTCGCACACCCCCATACTGGATGTATAACCCCAGACCATGATTTAGCCTCCACCAAACTTCACTGTTTTCTGGGTAAATCTCGGCTCCAAGCGGGTTCCAGTATTTCTCCTGCAATAGTTGTGGCGACTGTGGTGTAATTCAACAGAAGATTCGTCTGAAAAATCCACCTTCTGCCACTTTTCCAGCGTCCATCCTGTTAGCAGGCTGTGGGACTTGGCAAATGCCACACGGTTTTTCAATTGTCTTTTGTTTAGTGCTGGCTTATGGGCACTGATTCAACCATGGAGGCCATCTCGAGACAGAATATGACAAACTGTTCTGGCTGACAGGGATTCCAGGTCTCCTGGAGCTCTGCTGCAGTTGAAAATGGGCTTGCCTTGGATTTTGAGCCAACAAACAGTCCTATCGAGCAGGTTTCTTGCAGGGTCTGTCTGACCTTGGCCTGTCAAAAACTCCAGTCTCTTCAAATCTTTTCTTTATCCTCTGAACTTGACGCTGAGACACATTAAAGGTGTGTGCCCCATCAGCGGTGGATTTGGTCTTCAGCCTCTTTATAATCAACACTTTAATCTCAGGGTGAATCTTAGACATGTTTGCAGAGGTCTATTTGCAGTTGATGTGAAGGTCTAGTATACTGGGGTTATTTTTGTACACACCCGACACCTAATTGATCCGTTATTAGTCACAGGTAAAGCTCATAGGACAAGGCGACAACACTTATATCTTGGCAAAAATCGACTCAATGGGCTTTACCAAGCTGTGAATATTAGAACACTTTTTGTTAGATTCGTTTTGCATTGAAACATTATTACAAAAGCTGTTTGGATTAAAATGACCCATCTAAATCTGCATTAGAATTATTTTTAGCGGCATTTTAGGTCTATTTGTAGACAAGCGACATGACTTTTGTCAGGAACTGTACTATACGGTGTGACTCTGGGGGGATTAAGTTCAAAAGTAGCTCTTCCTTCACTTTTTTGCGCTGAAATGTTTGAATCTAGATCAAGGCCGGATTATAAAATGGGCAAACTGGGCACAGGCCCAGGGGCCCACAGCCACAAGGGGGCCCACAAGCAGCAGTCTTTTTTTTTTTGTGTGTGCAGCACGCAGCAGTCTTAACATTGGAGAAAAATGTAAACAAGTAATTAAAATTTTGCCCACATTTTCTAAGTTAACACACATTTCTTTTAACAACGGTAGTTTTTGCATATTTACTGTTCCTGCTTCAGCCCTCTCCCCCTGTGCAGCGGCCGCAAACTCACTGATGCACCTGCAGCCTCTCAGAGTTCCTGCTGCTCTAAACATGGAAAGAATCATTTAATTTTCTGTTCCTCACTTCTAATTACCTTCAATGGTGTATGTTTGTTGCAACCAACAGGTACAAAAACGAACTTGTTTTTATTTGACTATTGATTCTGTCCTGTCTGTTTATTATCTTCCTGCATCTCCTCTCAGTCCTAAAGAAAGACTGCTACCTGGCTTCATATATATTCACCTTATGAGTTACCTTTGAACTGCAGTTAAAAAAGATCTACAGACCGTAAAAATAGTGGAGTGCGCACCGGTGAGGTGAAGTCACCGGAGAACGAAACAGGTGATGCACTCCGTTCCGCAGCAGCAAAACACATCAGGCACAAATAAAAGACAGAAAACATAAAAGGACATGAACCGACATAAACGATGGCGTGTTAAATTTGTTTTTGAGGTGGCGACACTTTGAGAATGTTACTGTGGCCGTTCTCAGGACGCATCTGTCGGGAGCGCATCAACGATCAGAGCTCTGCGCCTCTCAGCTCTAAATAATCCCAGCAGAGTCCACATGAATAATGTAATATAAATAGAACCATGATCGTTTTCGGGCTAAAAAATAGTCTACAGTCCATCTTCCCTAATGTGTTTGTGGCCCTGCAGATTTTTCTAACTCTACCTGCACTTCTTATGTGTACCTCTCAACCCGTAGGACTCTTTCATAAGGGTACCGCACCATCAGCTACGTCAGCCCAGACAAGAGCAGAGAAAATAGAGACAGAATAGAGGATAATTCTGTCTGGATGTGGATGGAGATTACATTTTACAGCAGCCTGATCATCAGATCGGCTCAGCGTTCACATCACTGCAGACGCTGAACCTTTGACCTCGTCAATCACTATCTACTTTTAGATAAATTATATGCTTTTGGTCTGTCAAGGCCGTCTCTACTGTGGTTTAGTTCTTTTCATCATCATCGTTCTCAATTTGTTTCCTTTAATGGTTCTGAATCAAACGCGAGGAGTCATCAGAGGTGTTCCCCAAGGCTCTTCACTTGGGCCATTATTATTTTCAATTTTTATTAATGATTTACCACGGTGCTGCAGATCCTGTTCTGTTCAGTTATATGCAGATGACACAGTCTTATACTGTTCTAAGTCGAGTAAATCCGAATTACAAGAAGCTATTCAGCCTAATTTTGACGAAGTGCAGCTCTGGCTAGCTCAGAACAAACTTCTTTTAAATAAATCTAAGACGTACTCCATGCTGTTTCATAGATGTAGTAATCTATCTGACAGTGACAGGACTCTTAATCTTTATTTTTTGGATTCCTCCCCGGTTCAACCATCTGTTAAAATGAAATATTTAGGAGTTTGGCTGGAGCCAGAGCTGTCTTTTAAATTTCACATTCACACAACATGTCTTAAGGTCACACGGTGTTTACGTATCCTTTATAACTCAATAAATTGCTTCGAACCTATTGTACGAAAGCTTATCGTCACTCAGCTTCTGTTGCCGATCATTGATTATTCTGATATTTTATACCAAAACTCAACAGTTTCTAGCCTGCGGTCTCTTGATGTCGTCTATAACAGTTTGTGTCGTTTCATTTTGAGGTGTTCAACACTCATCATTGTTATATGTATGATCTTCTTGGTTGGCTTCCTTTAAAAGCTAGACAACAATTTCATTGGTTGATATTTATGTTTAAGTGCATTTATTTTGATTTTCCACTTTATCTAAAAACACTTTTGGTTCCCATTGATTCCTTGTATTCCACCCGCTTAACTACTCTTCCATCATTTGTTGTGCCTCGTTTTAAAAAGGAGGTGGGTAGACTCGCCTTTTGTGTTAAAGCTCCTCAGGACTGGAATAAATTACCCACTGAATTAAGATCCATCTCAACAATTCGTCAATTTTCCCGCACTGTTTATGCTTATGTAAAGCCAAGCTGTGGTTGCTTTGTTTAATCTTTACTATAATGATTTTGTGCATTCACTGGCTAACATGCTGTATTTCGTTGCCAAACTTTGTATTCAGTTGGGATATTACTTCACTTTAGGTTTATTTACAATGTAATTTCTTGCCCTTATTTCTCTTTGAGTGCCTCACAGCAGTTTTATTTAATTTAATTTTGTATATAGGTATGTATGTACGTATGTACATGTGTGGGTATCTATGTATCCATGCTTATGTGTTTATATTTACGTGTGTATATATATATTTATACATATCGTTAATTTTACTATTATTTACTTTCCTTCTTCTTTTTTGTTAAGTCTGTTATAACTTTCTAACTCTGCCACCTTATTTGTTATTGGTTGTGTTGTAGGAGGACCTGCTCGAAAACGAGATGTTACATCTCAAGCAGTTTATCCTCCTGAAAAACATAAGTTAAATAAATAAATAATTTAAATACATAAACCATCACCTGGCTTCTAGTCCACGCTATCACGTCGTCGTCGTCTACCTCCACTTATTCGGGTCGCGGGGGCAGCATCCCAACTACGGAGCTCCAGACCGTCCTCTCCCCGGCCATCCTCCACTAGCTCCTCCGGCAGGACCCCAAGGCGTTCCCGGACCAGATTGGAGATGTAACCTCTCCAACGTGTCCTGGGTCGACCCGGGGGCCTCCTGCCGGCAGGACATGCCCGAAACAGCTCGCCAGGGAGGCGTCCAGGAGGCATCCTGACCAGATGCCCAAACCACCTCATCTGACTCCTCTCGATCCGGAGGAGCAGCGGTTCTACTCCGAGTCCCTCCCGAATGTCCGAGCTCCTCACCCTATCTCTAAGGCTGAGCCCGGCCACCCTACGGAGGAAACTCATTTCGGCCGCTTGTATCCGCGATTACCCAAAGCTCATGACCATAGGTGAGGATTGGGACGTAGATCGACCGGTAAATCGAGAGCCTGGCTTTCTGGCTCAGCTCCCTCTTCACCACGACAGATCGGCTCAGCGTTCGCATCACTGCAGACGCCGAACCAATCCGCCTGTCGATCTCCCGATCCCTCCTACCCTCACTCATGAACAAGACCCCAAGATACTTAAACTCCTCCACTTGAGGTAGGACTTCTCCCCTGACCCGGAGTTATATAACAATATATATATATATATATGTATTTTATATATGATTAAAATTAAGAAAAAATTGTGAATAAAAAATGTTAGCAAAGGGAAAGAGAACATAAGTAGGAAAGAGGGAAATCTGGATCCTGGGAAAGGTAGAATAGGTAGAAAGGGCAGAATAAGGAGAGGGTGATGATGAAGGTCACACCAAAGCCTGAACAGGTGAGATTGCAGCTGCTTTTTGAAGATCACTGATCTCAGGCTCAGGGAGAGAGCTCCAAAGTCACATTTGGTCTTTAGCCTGGTGCACTGCACAATCATGCTTTGACCACTGGACATCACATCACGGACCTACTGGGGTGTAGGGACTGAGAAGATCACCAGTGTATGACGGTGCTTGTCCTTGTAAGGCCCTAAAGACCAGGAACCAGGATCTTGAAATGAACCCTGAAGTTGACCGGCAGCCAGTGAAGCTGGAGGAGAAGTGGAGTGATGTTGATAGGTTCTGTAGAATGACTAAAAGCTTCTGGAAGGAAGGACCTGTGATAATGTTCTTTCATCCTTCTGGATGCAGCAGTCTTCCTCTGAAGGAGCTCTCCTGCTCAACAGCTTCATTTAGGTTTGGATACATCATCCAGTGATGCTACTTTTGCTAGAGGTCTCTTGCACCAGATCAAGGGAACGTCCTTGGACAGAAGTGTCCTTGACAAGTTTATCTAATCTCTTCATCCCAGCTCTAGATGCTGCCCCAACAGATGCATAATAAAGAAGGCTGATGGTCTATTTATTTATTTGGACATAAAAATACATTTGAGGTCATTATTGGCTACAAGACAAAGGATGTGTGTCAGTTAGGGTTTGTGGTTCCATTTAATCCAAAGGCGTTCGATTGAAGGTGGCTTCTTTGGTTGCTTGAAGACGTTGCACTTCTCATCCGAGGAGCTTTGTCTGTTCTAACTGAAAAGTGAAAAACGTCTTCAAGAAACCAAAGACGTCCAGTTGCCTTCATTCAAGCTCCTTTGGATTACGGTGACCTGGATAACGGAGAACCTTCACCAGCATTGTTCTAGAAAATTACATCAAATAAAAAAGCTGAATGATAGAAGACACATATATATATATATATATATATATATATATATATATATATATATATATATATATATATATATATATATATATATATAAAATGTGTGTGTGTGTGTGTATGTATTGTTTGGATTAGACTTAACTGTTCACATTTTAAAAACAACTTTTATTTCCTGTAACATAAAAATGGGTTTCTGTGTTCATCAGCGACCTACAGGTGAGACAAAACTGCCCTTGAAATGCATTTGAGGATGAGGGTGGCGCCGTGGTCGCACTTTGGACACGCCTATCTGAAATCACATGATGGTTCCGAGTTTGGTGTTGCTGTTGGTGAGTTTTAGGTGTATTTAAAACTCATGCAAATAACTTTAGTTTCAGAATCACAGAAATTATTCTTAAATGAGCTCAAACGAGCTACGCGAACTGCAGCTCCGTGTCCTCAGGTAGCTTCTCGTGTTCCTAACAGGTCATTTAGGGACACCCTGGCACAGAGCCAGGTCGGAAACGGACCTGTTTACCGTACTTTGTGTTGACAGGTGGAACATTTAGGCTCCGTCTGGATGCGTGGGAATAAAACTCCTCCAGAAAAGCGCGCTGGGGCTCTAACGCAGTTAAAAACATTTAGGTTGATCGCATTTTCAGCGTTTTGAGAAAGTCGCTGAGGAATGACGTCAAGACGTATAACATTGATGACGCTGTTTGATCATTAAAAAAATCAGCCATTAAAAATAGCTGAGATTTAGGTCAGAAAACGGGAGATTATCGAGGGCCCCAGAGCGAACGGCGACTACCAGAAACATGTTGTGAGCAGCTGGGAGGATCTTGCCCGATGTTCCCACTCCCAGCATCCGTCACCGACAGCGGTAGCCGTTAGACCGGTCTGTCTGTCCGCTCCCCCCCGCTGGGTTTAGGTAACCTGCGAACACAACCAACGCAGAGGCTGGATGGTGAGCCCGGGGAAACAGCAACACCGACGGATCCGAGCCTGGAGGCGGTCCCGCTGACACCAGGACCGGATCTCTAGTTCCAGTAAGTGCTGGCTGGCCCGGCTAATGCTGGCTAGCTGAGTCACACATCTGTGTTATTGTAGCTTTAATAACAAAATGGCTGAAGGCTCACATACCTCCACCTTTATGTTTGTGTTTATTCACACGACCAGACCACAGCAGAGCAGCGTGGACAGGTCAGACACGCTTAAAGGTGGTGCTGATAAAATACCTGGTAAAGATGGCCCTGTGATCAGCCTCAGTGTGGAGAAAGGGAAATTAGTTGTGTCGGACAGATGAGCTAAAGGTTAGGCAGAGCGAGGCACATCACAGTTTCCACCTTCTAAAGCCGCTGATCGCAAACATCCTGCTGACGTTCATGCAGGTATTATTTTATAAACGTGACATCACATGGTTATTTGCACACAATTTGGTGGTTATTTTTTAGCTTTGCTGTAGCTGGAACATTTCTAAAGTGTGAAATTTAAATAAATAAAAAACAATGTATTATAGTAAAGGATCCTGTAATATTATAGTACCATGTAGTACCTGTGTGGCACTAATGAAAATGCTAAAAACTAGAGTTTTATACATGATTACCTTCAATGAATTAGAACAGCTTTAGTGTGACTCATCAGTGCTGGTGGGCCCCTAGTGGCCGTGGGCCGATAATACCCATTGGCTGTTATTTTTTGAGAAGCATGAGCATTTTCATTTATTATTTTACGAAACCTCAAGGTCTTATTATGTCAAACAGCTGATTCAGATCCACTAAGGAACAAAAGAACTTTGAAGCGTTGACTATAAACTTACACTAAAAAAATCTACTAAAGCAGATATTTTTTGCTTCTTGATTTTATTCATGCATATGGACCAGACCTACTGACTAAAGGTTTGTGTGCTGCTTGCTCAAATTCATTATAGAATGGGCGATCAGGACACCTATCTCAAACTTTCATGGTTAGTAACTGTCCTGATCGGCGCTCAGTGGATGAATAGATGTGCTTGTTTTTTTCTGTTGCTTTATTGCATAAAACCACGAGGCGTAAAGCTGTTTATCACCTGAAACACGCTGTGCTGTGTGAAGGAAGAAACACTTTCATACGTCCCTGGAACAGAAATCTTCCGATCACTGTTACAAACCTCTGATCAGTGTGTAGAAACACCACAGTACCTATAAACGACACTGGACTAAATCTAGTTATATAATCAAGCTCCATCTCAAATACTGAAGTAAGAAATTATGTAAGTGCAAACTTAAAGGATGCTTGATCTGATGTGTTTAATTATGTTAAATATAGCGTTATCCTTTCCAGGGGTAGACAGATATATTGGCATCAACTGTCTTCAACCTGCTTAATAAATGCTTTAAAATGAATAATAATAATAATAATAATAATAATAATTATATATATATATATATATATATATATATATATACACCTATTTATAGTGGAGATGAGTGGCACCCGGTGGGGTCTTCTGCTGTTGTAGCCCATCTGCCTCAAGGTTGCGCGTGTTGTGGCTTCACAAATGCTTTGCTGCATTCCTCGGTTGTAACGAGTGGTTATTTCAGTCAAAGTTGCTCTTCTATCAGCTTGAATCCGTCGGCCCATTCTCCTCTGACCTCTAGCATCAACAAGGCATTTTTGCCTACAGGACTGCTGCATACTGGATGTTTTTCCCTTTTCACACCATTCTTGGTTAACCCTAGAAATGGTTGTGGGTGAAAATCCCAGTAACTGAGCAGATTGTGAAATACTCAGACCGGCCTGTCTGGCACCAACAACCATGCCACGCTCAAAATAGCTTAAATCACCTTTCTTTCTCATTCTGACATTCAGTTTTGAGTTCAGGAGATTGTCTTGACCAGGACCACACCCCTAAATGCACTGAAGCAACTGCCTTGTGATTGGTTGATTAGATAATATCATTAAGGAGAAGTTGAACAGGTATTCCTAATAATTCTTTAGGTGAGTGCATATGTGTGTATATATATATATATATATATATATATATATATATATATATATATATATATATATATATATATATATACACACACACACCAGTTCTGGATAATTTAACACTTGGTCAGTTAATTGATTTATTTGATAAAATTTTCATGAAGTGCGTCATGATGGAGGACCCAGGTAAACGCGGAAATGTGGTTCGGTGATACGACAACCGAATGGTCCAATAGTTACTTTTGGTCTGAAACATGTTATTGGAGGTTTTTGGACAAATGTGAGAGAATTACTATACTATCTTTTTTTTTGTTTAGTTTTTTTTTCCATAACAGGCATGAAAAAAACATTTTAAGCTAATTTGTTTTACAAATTTGTTCAGTCTTCAAAAACTGATTGTGTTCATCAGCTGATAATGTTAGTGACATTTTAGCACACAAATAAGGCGGGAAAAGTTCTAGATATCGGACATAAAGACTGGCTTTAAAGCATTTTTTATATTTATATACGAACAACTGACTTTACCTACGGGCCGGCTATGAAAACCAAACATTTCAAGCATACAACCTTTATTCCTAAGCCTTAAGAGGATCTCATGTTTATTGGTTCACTTCTAACATGTTTCTATGAGACGGAAATGTGGTTTTATTGATTTATAAAAGTTCAAAAATGTTTATTAAAGTTTATTTAAAACATTTATACTTCTTTGGACATGGCTGCTCTAAACTGTAACCACTTATAATCCTCTTTCTGTTTGGAACAAAACTGATCATGAGACGAGTTGAGTAGATTCATCTAAAGTCACACGTGAAGTAGTTTGTTTTGCTGTTGTCACTGTTGGCTGTGTGTTTGATGTGTGGTGTATTTTATCGGTTTATAATTCTTCCACCAGTCAAACACGACAGTAAGAATCCTGCAGAAGAACCGAACTATGTGAAGGCCCACAGCGCCGCCACAGTTCTTCCACCTTAAATTTTGTTCTAGAGAAAATGTCGAGCCGCCGTAAATCCACCACGCCTTGTATGGTTCCGGCTTCAGAGGCGGTGCAGCAGGAAGTTGTAGAGGACAACGCCGAGAGGACAGAAGATGGAGAGGCAGGGGAAGAGGAGACGAAGGTGAAGGAGGGAACTAAGGTAGTGGTGACTCAAGAGGAGCCTGTTGTAGTCGTCCTCGCTCCACCAGAAGCTTGTGCCTCAGCTGGTGAAGACAGCCAAGCCACCAGCTCCATGCTGAAGTGTACAGCGACAGATCCACCCGAGGACCCAGGCAGCCATCAGCCGAACCAGGAAACCCAGAGCGATCCACTGGAGGAGGGTGGAGCCGATCCCGCTGCGGCATCTGCCATCTCCCTCAGCAAGACTCCCATCATGAGGATGAAGACCAAATCTGAACCCAAGAGAATCGCTGTGTCCCTGAAATCAGCAGACGAGGGTTTAGGAGCAAGCGAGGGTGAGCTGGGTGGAGAGCAGGAGCCCATCGAAGCTCCACTGGGACCGATGACGCCTGTTGAGATGTTGCTGCATGACTCCATGAAGTTTGGGGAAGGAGGTTTTGTAGTCGGAGCAGAGCAGCAGAGAAAATCCTCCATCCTGAATCCCACAGCTCTGCCTGCAGGCCTGGCGCAGGTACAGGGCCTCCGTCACTTACTGCAGTTTAGAATCACACAATAAAAATGTGACTGGAAAAGTTTCTGTACTTCCCTTCCTCCTGTTATTCCAGGTGCTCTCAGCCTTCCAGGCCCAGCAGAGTACAGCAGCGGCTCAGCCTCAGTTACTGATTCCCCTCAGCAGCATCCCCTCCTACAGCGCAGCTATGGACACCAACCCCCTCCTCAGCAGCACGTACAGAAATTTCCCGTACCCCTCCATAACAGAGATCAGCAGCCTGGCAGCTCAGACGCAGTTCACAGAGGAGCAGATCAAGGTAAAAAACCTTGGCCTGGTCTCTCCTCAAAAAGAGTTTTTTTTTAAATCTCAGTGGGATCTTCCTGGTTAAGTAAAGATGTGACTGTTTCCTGCTCAGGTGTGGTTCTCTGCCCAGCGGCTGAAGCACGGAGTCAGCTGGACTCCAGAGGAGGTGGAGGAGGCCAGGAGGAAACAGTTTAATGGAACTGTGCACACGGTGCCTCAGACCATCACTGTCATTCCCGCGCACCAGCTGTCAGCTGCTGCTAACGGGCTGCAGTCCATCCTGCAGACCTGCCAGATAGTGGGCCAGCCTGGCCTTGTGTTCACACAGGTGGGTTGTTGTGGTGCATCAGAGACGTGCGGCCTTGACTCCCACGGTGCCGTGTCTCCAGCCTTTATTCATGTGAACAGAACTTCATTATTACAGTTGTCTGTCTGCAGGTCGGTCCCCGGGGAACTCTTCCCGTCACCAGTCCCATCACCTTGACTGTGGCAGGGTTGCCCAGTCAGTCTCAGAGCTCCAGCAGAGTTTCCTGTCAGCCCACTCCGACAAACAGTGAGCTAAAACGGGCTACCACAGTCCAGCCTCCCTCTCTGTCTCCACAGGTTGGGACACCACTTAAATCTGGCTGTCCGATTTCTACATGGAGCTAAATCAGGAGCATGTTTGGTTATTAGAAAAAAGATTAAAAAAAAAACAGAAGACAATCTAAAGTTTATTTTATTTGTTGTTCTGACTGAATTTGTTTTAGATCGTTTTATACATTACAAACTTTTGGTGCTGATGTGGTGTGAGGGGCGGGGCTACGGACGTCTCATTTCCTCATGTTAAATTCATTTGAAGCTTTAAAAATGAATTAAAAAAAGTAGAGCTGACAAAGTTTTTATTAAGTTTAAACCCCATGTGAGATGGGTATTAAACTTTTATTTCTTCAGTTTGAAATATTTGAACACCATGACCTGATTTAGCTTCATCTTTCTAGAGCTCAGTCAGCTGAAAATGATCGCCTTCCTGTTTTAAACACAAACCCAAAGGCCTTTTAGCAGATTTAATCTGAGCTCAGTTAATCTCAGTTGGTTATTGAGTGTGTTAAACAGCGATGCAGGAACACCTGACCTGACTGATTTGTAACGTCTCTCTCGCTAGGAGAGCTCAGCCCTCAGTGCTGACACGTTCAGCATGCGGCCTAAGAAATCCAAAGAGCAGCTAGCTGAGTTGAAGGCCAGCTACCTGAAGAACCACTTTGTTACTGATGGAGAGATCGCCCGCTTGATGAAACTCACCAACTTGACGAAGGGTGAGATCAAAAAGTGGTTCAGCGACACCCGCTACAACCAGCGCAACTCCAAGAACAGCCATATGACCGTTTTCCACGACGGAGGAGGCAGAGGCAGCAGCTCCAGCAGTGTCCCCATCATCATTGACTCAAGTGACGAGACCCCCGCCTCTCCCCTTCCTCCGCACGTCTCTCCTGTGAAGGAGAAGGAGCCTCGGGCCAAAACGTGGAACCCGTTCCCAGATTTCACTCTGCAGAAGTTCAAGGAGAAGACTCCCGAGCAGCTGGTGGTGCTGGAGGAGAGCTTTGAGAAGAGCAACAGTCCATCGGATGAGGAACTGAGTCGTCTGAGGACAGAAACCAAACTGACAAGAAGGGAGATTGATGCCTGGTTCACCGAGAGGAGGAAAGTTCCAGCTGTCCGCACGTCCTCCCCGGAATCTTCAGAAGGGGGGAAAATGGAGACAGATGGTGTAAAAGCAGGAGAGGGAGAAGACGTTGAAGGAAAAAGCCCATCTCCTCTATCAGCCTCCTCCTCTAGAAAGGGTAGTCAAACTCCTCCTAGCGGCCGCACACCGTCCAGCAGCAGCAGGAAAGACATCAGAGAAAAAAGTAAAAAGTCACCGGAGCAGCTCCACATCCTGAAAAGTGCCTTTGTGCGGACCCAGTGGCCCACGCCGGAGGAGTACGACCAGCTGGTAGAAGAAACCGGCCTCCCTCGGCATTACGTCGTCAGCTGGTTCGGGGACTCTCGGTACTCCTGGAAAAACGGAAACCTGAAGTGGTTCTTTCAGTACCAAAGCAGCAGCATGGAAGGACCAAACGGAGGGGGCGGTAAAACGGGAGGTCGGAAAAGACGTGGTCGGAACCGAGGGTGGGGGTGCTCCAGAACCAAGAAGCAGCCAAAGAGGTTGTCGTCGTCCTCCACCAGCGCTGATGTCAACAGATCTGTGCCCTCAAAGAAATTCAAGACTGGGAGGGAAATCCTGAAGGAGTACTTCCTGAAACACCACTTTCTCAACGAGCAAGATCTGGACGAGCTCGTCACCAAGACCAACAAGAGCTACGAACAGGTAAAGAGCACCGCACAGGTCTGGAGTTTCACCCTAACTCTGGCATGCACTTTAGTTTAGTGATGCTTAAAGGGTGAGTCCCACGCCGGGCGGAGTCGTACGTCACCCACACTTCCTGTTAGAAAAAAGGAGGCGTTGCCTAGCGCAGATACATCTGCAAACTCGTGCACGCTCTATGACTGACATCTGTACGTAAGCGGATGTCTAACACTGTTGGTTAATGCTGAGTGGTGCTCAGAGTAAGACTCTGGATTGCTGCTTTGATGTTCACAAGTTACTTTTAGCCTTAAAGACACGTCTCGTTAGAGCTCAACAGGTATGATTTGGTTAACTTCGCCCTCTCAGCTGTGTCTCCGTGTGTCTTTAGGTGAGGGAGTGGTTTGCCGAGGTGCAGCGACGCTTGGACATGGGGTCAGACCCCTTCCTGGAGCCGGCCGTAGGGAGAACGGACCGGGACAACGCAGGAAAGGAGGATGAGGAGACGAGAGGAGAGGGGTCAGAGGTCACCGAGGAAAAGACTGGCCAAAGGAGGAGAGATGAAGATGATGAAGATGAAGATGAGGATGAGGAGGAGGAGGAAGATGATGAAACAGATGACAGCGAGGTTTGGGAGCCGTCCCGTAGTGTCAGGAAGAGTTTGTCCGTTTCTGAAGACTAGAGGAGATGCTGCTCTGGTGCTGGTGCCGAAAACCAGTTAAACCAGTTAGCCAAACTAGGGTTTCTAATGGGGGGCGGTTCACTGATTTGCACGAGCTGTTCCTATCTCTCTTTTCTGCAAACTAATTTTAAACAATAACACAGACCATCAGCTCGAGCTCACCTTATTCTTACTGTTAGTTTGTTTTAAACACAAGTCAAAGCTTTCTCCTGCTTCAGGAGCAGCTGCTACGCTGTGGATGGAATAGTCCCCCTGATCACTGCACATCCTTCATAGACCCTTCCTAAGGACATTCTCAACCCTTTATTACAAACAGCAGATTTATGTGGTTGAAAACTGTTGCTAAAATGCTGTTTAAACCTCAGAAAGAATGATGAAAATGAGTCTGGGAGTTTAGTTAAATCGAAGGTAGAGTATGGAACACCACAGTGACATCTAGTGTGTGGAGGTTGTAGTTGCAACAACAGAACAAGGTTTCCAGCCGTTGGCATACCAGGTTTGCTGCCGACATGTGAAATGTTTTATCTGGGTCCATCTGTGGTAGGCTTCACCTAAACTCACTCTGGTTTTAGATCTTTTATGCTCGCTCCTCTTCTGAGAAGTATAGCAACACCTTCTGGGCTCATCTTCCCAATATAGCTTTTAAAGGAAATAATGCACCTTCATTCTACACCTCTAAACGTCCCGTGGAGGTGTTATTAAACAAAATATAGCTTTTCACTAAATTGTTCCATATTCAACCTTTAAGTTTGTCACGACTTACCGATTCTGCTTTTACGAGCTTGTCTCAGTTTGATGTTCTGTGTTTTAAAACGACCCCGACCCTAAAACTGGGACATTAATAATATAGATCATGCAGCTTGGACATGCCATCCTGACCAATCGCTGCAACCTTTATGCCTTAGCATGCTGCCAGACACCAGATAATCTCATTTGTTGTCAGATGTTACCATTAAAACATTCAAGCCAGTTTCTTTTTATAGGTATTTGGATTAGTCAGAGAGAAAAAGTGCAGATGTCAGGATTAAAGTTGAAATGACAAGAAAATGGTCAAAAAGGCTGTTTCAGGAACTGAAATGAAGCCCGTCCTGCACCTGGACCAGACTTTATTTCTTCTGTATTTATTATTATTGGAACTGAAGGTTCAAGGTGTGTTTTTACTGATTACACTATAAAAACTGGAAATCAGAGGTGGTAGACTCAAATATTCATGCACACATAAAACATTGGGAGCGTTATTTTTCTGTATCAAAATTCCTAAAGCAGCTATGTCAGCAGAGACGTTATTTACAGGCTGTTTCACTGAACTGAAAGAATTTCATATTTATTAAAACTTTCTGTAATAGAATCACCAGTTCATGTGTCCAAGGCATTGTGGGTAAATTAAGTCCTTCTCCAGTGCTGTTTTACTGTTTGATTCCATTTTTAAACCTCACGATTCCAACTTTACCCTTGAAGTACAAGTTTAGTCTTTTTTCTCTACATTTAGGTTTTATTCTCATCCCCTCCATTAAAGTCACCAGCCTACAGATCCCTTTGGTAAAATGTTGTATCCCAGGATTTCTCTTTTAAAGAAAAAATGAATAAAAACTCTGCAACTTTAATCACAACCTTTGAGAAAAGCTGCAGTAAAATCAGAGATTTACGTAAAAACCTTGAAGGGACTGATTAAAAGGCCCCGTTGGTATGTTGGGTTGGTTTGTCCCAAACGAGCTAAACCCTGTTAGCCTGGATTGTGCTGTTCTTTTGAACTTGATGAAATCCTAACCTGTGTTTTTTTTCTATTTTATTCCTGATCTTTACTTTACTTATTTATCTTGGCTTGGTGTTTGTTTGTGTGACGTGTCAAACACAAGTCACACATTCATCTATGCTTTAAATGAGCGTTTCTCGCCTACTGAAATGAATCAGTGGAGGATTTAATTCACAGAGATGCTGATTCAGAAAACTCGCTTATATGAATGTGACACGGGCGGTCCTGAGTAATCGGATAAAGGACTTGATGAAAAGGTGCTAGAAGACTCATCACAGATAAGAGTTACCTAGGTAGGATTAAACTAGCCAAACACTGAATGAATGGCAACACTGATGCTCTTAAAACAAAGCAGGATGTTTCCCTTTAATCTACCTTATTATTCTCATAATACTGTTGATTTTTAACTGCTAACCTGTCGGCAAAGATGCAGCGGAATGTTAAACACTAACTGCTGTTGACATTTTGATGTTTTAAAGGAGATTGAAACAGTGCGACCCTTGTGCTAAAGCAGAAAGGTTTGCCTCCCAGTAAGTTAGCTGTTTTTAGGCCCAGTTCACATGCAAAAATAGTTGGATGATTTTCAACGCATGAGAAATCACACACATGGCGATGAGTAAATCACAGGTATAAAAGATTTGGTCCTACAGTGTGTGGTGAGCAGCAAAAACTACAGTTTGGATTTTGGAGTAAACAAACATGGAGAAGGAGCGTGCACCCGCACTTCCGTCACCTCGGTTTCTGATTGGCTACAGGTCACATTAGACAGGCAACATGTTTGTTTGTCCTCTGAAATCTTACCAAGACAATTCAACAGCTTGGAAGCCCTGATTTATGATTGGAGACGTCCGACGTGCTTCAGAGCAGACCTGACAGTGGCGTGTCCAAGGGGTGGCCAGGGAAGGCCATGGCCCAGGGGGCCTCAGATTGTTGAAAGGGGACAATCTGGTCAGCCTAATGATGCTTTCATGTAAACCGAGCCTAAATTAGATGATATTCACAACCAAGAGGATCTCTGGATTGAATTGTATCTGAATGTTTTTGCAGCTGTAATCCTTCGGTGGTGGATCAGTGATTCTCTTTCCATGAATGCAGTCAGATCAAAATCCCCATCATTTCTGTCCTGGCACATAATGTATAAAAACAGTATTGTAGACTTTTTTTCTGAACCCCTTTCTGCACCAAAACTAAATAATCAAAGCACCTAAACTAAACGTAAAAGACAAAAAATGCACCTTTTCCACTTGAGTTTGTAGTGGAATAAATCCAGATTAGGCACCTTAGTCTCTCATTTTACCATGAAATGGCTCTGAGGGACCAAACTTGTTTTGTATGACTACAGACAAACCCGAATTTTGCCTTTTTCTATTCTTGGTGTTTTCACAAGGACGATTATTATCCGTGTATGAGTTTTTCTAATGATATGTGCTTTCATGGAAGCTTTTACAGCTAAATAGAGAACAATCATACACCTATTTCTTGCACCACAATGCACAATACGAGCCCTAATATTACCACTTTGTCTATTAGAAACAGCTTAAATGCTGTATTTAATGTTTTATTGCTTCAAATGATGGGAGCTGTCCTTTCTTTTGTTCTTTCCCCCATCTGAGTCCTGATGCCTCTTCTCTGTCCCTCTTGTGTCAGATGAATGGCTACAATTGTGATACGCACCTTCTTGGAACATTTCTGTAAATGTTGGCAGCATCTTGTTGGTTTCTTGTCTAGCGAGATTTATTTACAAACCGTGTGAACTTAGTGGATCACGGATACAAGTACACCCCTCACATGTCTTTTCATAAGACAACACTAAAGATGGGACACTTTGATGACATGGGAAGTATCTAGTGTCTAGTTTGGATAACAGTTTAAAGTTGGTGTCCTCTCACATGACTCAATACAGTTATTAATGTATAAAGTGATCGAAACAAAAGAGAGTACTTGCTTAAAGTGGCAGTGTGTAGTTTCTTAACGCTAGGGGGCAGTACATACATACATTTCAGGGTAGTTTTACACCATATCGCCGTGACTGTCGCTAGTTTAAAAACCCGTGGAGCAAAAAGCTGCAACCTCAGAGTGACTCCTCAGACTTTGATAGTCCTTCAGTTAATTCCATTGAAAGAATGCAATGCTGATGCTAGTTTTCTAGTGCTGTACTTTCCGGATCTGCTCGGAGTCCTGTGCCTGTTGATGACATCATCAAACTACGGCAATACCACTCGGCCAAAATATGTAATCTCTTTTTCGATTCTGTTCTTTCACATGTGTTTTGGAAAGAGTTCAGCAGCTTTGTTACTAAATTCCTGTTTATTAGTACCTAAATGTTTTTGAACGTGGTAACGGAACTTCCGTAAGTCGAATATCCATCCAATCATCTAGTGTGATGTCATCCCTGAGCCGACCAGAAGGAAACATGGCTTCTAATATAGCATCTCCCAAAGATGCTATGCCCTATGTACTTTAGACCGGATTTTTCTGGTCATATGTTTTGAAGCCACCAATATTTTCAATGACTGGATATCATTTTATTCATTTTCAACAATATTTCAATGGATATTTCCAGAGATTAGTGGTAAAAATATACATTGTCTCTTTGATGTATAAAGTGCTCACAACAAAAGAGAGTACTCACTCAACAGAAGTTTCCAATTTGTGCCCAATTGTCCATTTTCTCCATGTGACCATGGTCACATCTGAGCGAGAGAGAGGGAGAGTGCTGAGAAATGAGTTATTTACACTGTTATAAACGACATACACCAGCTACTTCAGATTGAATCAAAGAGTCATATTTTCAATGTTGTCCCATGGAAAGAGAGTGGTAGCTATACTTATGAAAGATACTGAAACACATTCAAAGTTACAAAAATGAGAGGCTGTCTCCTAGAAAGGACATTAACAATTAGGAAACAGCACAGCATTCCCTCTTGAGGTGGGAAGTCTTCCAGACATCATTGTTTGTGGGTTCTTTCACTTTACTGCAGAAGAACAATGGGGCGATAGACTGGGACTGTCTTAGCTGCTGTTCTTCAGCGATCAGAGGAAGACTCTGATGAAGCTTTGCTGGTACACCGATGTGCCTAAGTGGCTTGAACTTGTTTGAACATAAGATCATCAACTCTCACTTGTGGAAATCCAAAATCTTCCCGAAGAAGACTCGTTCAAACTGAAAAGTGACCAAACTCTGCTTTCTGCTGACAACAAAGGATGCCTAAAAACAAACTGTGGAACCTTCATTTTGTAAGACCTTCGGTGGATGCAGTTCTATTTTATCACCCAAACAACATTTAAATCCTTGAAACAGACTTTGATCGTTGGCTGTATTTTAGTTAACTTTTAGGAACTGAAAGAGATGTCAAAATCTTTGTGTATTTTGGTTGTAAAGTGACATGTGTCTGTTCATGAGACAACTTTAAAATATTGACGTGTACTGCATGCAATAAACAGGACAGACCGCTTATTTTGTACATACAATGTGAGAGGTTGGTGTATTTGGGACAGTCTGATCTGACTAAACAGCTTTTCATTACCAAGTTGACTGGAGCTATAAATGTGTTTTTTATGTTTATGCCTCCAGTTTATGAAGTCCAACTCCTGTTATAGAAATGGTAAATTACCAATCCCAGCCTGTAGCTAAATAAGGAGGGATAATGCATACTCATCACCAAGCCTCATCCTTAAACATCCAGATGTTGTGAACCTTTCAGAACCATTTATTCTTGATGTGTGGTTTAGTCCATCAGACCTCATTGTGTGATATTTCTTTACATTAAAATCAGTTCTGAATGGTTTTATAGTTTATGTACAACTGTGTCATCACATTATCTGTGTACAATAGAGTTGTGCTTAAATTAAACTTACTTTCAGAATTCAGTCAGTGTTGCCAAAGTGACTTTTTTTAACAACTGGGTTCTTCTATTGTTGCAAAATCATTATAAAATAATTTTCACAAAATAAATGAACTTAGATGAAGAAGTGTAACAAACAACAAGGTCCAGAGGAGGTCGTTTTAGGGATAACCAATGTTTTCCCAGAGCAGAGAGGATATATAATTCATATTCTCCAGAGAACCTCAAGAGCACAACAACTAAGAACATCTTAGTCAGGTGGCCAAACAACGTCAATAGACTCCACTGAGGAAGGAGCATCAGCGCTACTTCAAACTGCCATCAGATAAAGTCCTTCTTTATCTCAAGTCTGAGCTCTTCCATTTTGCTTCAGCCACCAATATGGGATTTTGTTATTTTCGTAATGATCAATTTCTTGTGACCATGAGTATTTTTTTGATTCAGCTACAATGACAGACTGAAGCAAAGCACTTGTTACTGCTGACTGGTCCATTACCCGCTTCAAACACCAAAATTCTTTAAGACTGCTTGAGGCAACGACTCGCAATGTAGGGGTGCCACCCCCACAAAATAAAATCTGCTGGCTTGCTACCTGACAGGGCGTGGGCCTTTTAGCTCTGGGTGGAGTGGGTGCCCTTAGGTCTTGGGTGGCTGGGTCCTTGCTGGATCTGTCCTGGTGACCAGCTGCTGGCAGGGTCTGTGGGTGCACTGCTACAACCTCCTCTGGCTCTGGCACAGTGGGTTTTGTGTTTGAAAACTCCCGTGGAGAAACTTACATAGACAATTATGTGTGCATGCGTGCACACACACACACACACACACACACACACACACACACACACACACACACACACACACACACACACACACACACACACACACACACACACACACACATGCACAAGAAAGTGTCCTTGAGTCAATAATATGGTAAATTTACTAAAAGACCCCCACCACCGCACTAGTCTATGTATCTCACATCGATGGGCCGAGTTTTGAGGAAATGCCCACTGGACAGGTGGCCGTGGTTATGCACCCCCGCTCTACCATTTCAGGGTTTTTCACATCAGGACATAAAAAAAGATCCAATCATTACTGGGTTGTAAAATAATTCACATGCAAAAACACAACAGATTTTACCTTGTTAAATCTGTTAAACGTCGGCTGTGTATAAAATAAGCTATCTCACGCAGGCAGCTTCCAAGATTCATGTTGGAAAAAAAATACAGACGTCCAACTTTTGGTTGTTTCTATTTATTATTGCATTTTTTTAAGCACAGAGTGTTTTTGTCACCCTATTTTTCCTGAAATGTGTTCTGATCTCTCAGTAACTCTACGTCTGATTCCACCGATAAGAAGCAGGAAGAATCTAACATATTATGTCTGACTTCTACTGTCAGTTTTTAGATAAAAATCTTTAATAAACATGAAAAATTGTTGTTGTAAATAACAAAAACAAATGAATATTTCCTAGAAACTAGAAGTTTTTGTGTCCTTTGCATGTCACAGATCATTGAAATGATTGTTTAAAACAAGAAGTGTTGTTAGATTCAGGTTTAATTAGTGGTATTTTATGTTTTATCAGATTTTCTTCTATAAACATTTAATCCCATCGTAAAAAAATTCATATTGTTGAATACCAAAGGGCTAAAATTCAACCTATTAACATAACTGGAAGAGGTTTTATTCCAGTGGATGCAAAGTTTTCTAGATCAGGAAGATCAGATGAGTTTTTTGCTACCTTCTGCTCTCAGAACTGGCTAACCCAGGTCTAAACTGGTGCTGGCTCCACAAAAAGGTTAAAAACATATTTAAAAGATGGTAGAAGGTTCTGTGAGTGAGAGAGCAGACCCAGAGGAAGTCACTGTGACTGCCATTAAAGCAAGTTCAGTATTTTTTTTACCAGTTTTTTACAACAGATGCTGATGAAAAGCTATTTGCATTTTTTCCTCAACTGAACCAAGAGGAAAATATATTTGCATATGTCAGAGCATTTGCGCATCAAACAAATTATCCAGTGTGAATGTACGTATTTTAATCAAAACATGTAAATGTCTAAATTTTATCAATATCTCCTTTTGAAGAATTATAAAATGAGTCATAAACCTGAACCAGGATGTGAGCGGAGGTCATTTTCATAAAGCCAGCTCTGAAAGGTCATACTTAAATAAAGGTTCAGTGTGAGAGAGGAGATCATCTGAACATCAAAGTGGAGAGAAGAACATCAGGCCAGGGTGAGTCAAGTTATTCTAACCTGAACTGACTCTTTTAATCATAGAGGATGTTTTTATTTAAAGCTTCATTTCTGACTTGAGTTTATTCATTTATTTAGAACAGAAGATCTTATATAACTGGGTTTGTTTTCTCCAAAGATGCTGCAGAGTCTGTTATTCATCTGTTTGATTGGTTAGTGGCTCATTTTATTCATATGTTCTTCTAGTCTGGTTCATCTGAGCTTTAAATCACTACAGATCATAGTAATGGTACAATTTATAAGAGTTTAATTTATTAGGAGGCAGAAAAAGTAAATGTTTGGTTAAATTATTTAAGTGAAGAATAAAATGTGTAAATGAAAAACTGGACTTAGGGTGTTTCTCTGTTATTTTATAGGAAGGCTCAGTGAAGCCCAGGGGGATCCGTCAGGTAGGACCAGATGTGTTTCTATAATTTATTCTTTAATAAACCAAGTCATTAAGTAATAGAAGTAATACTTTTAAAATGAAATAAACTACATTTTTAGCAGATGTTTGCAGCTCACCAAATATAAATCTGGCAGGCAAGACAATATTTCAGTCATCAGACCACAACTCTGTCACAAACCTCACTTCTGACAAAATTATTAATAGAGATCCTTCAACATGTTCCAACCAGATCTTCTGGTGGCGCATCGATCTGCAGAGAGTTTACAACATTTCCTGCATCTCCATCTACAACAAAGATGCAGATAACACTGATCTATCAGGCTCTCAGATCTACATCTGCTATAATTTATACAACGTGTATAATTTATCACCATCGGTGCTGGGGCGCTACGTCATCGTGGTTACGCCTGCACAGAAACTTATGGTTCTATGTGACTTGATGTTCTCAACATGAATTGATGCTGGAATGTCACTGTTTAGTCCTCCCTCAGAAACATCAGAAACAACAATATTATTATGACGGAAATAAGGAGTTTAATCTGGACATTTTAGATTTCAAATGAATAAAATTAGAACTCAAACATCAGTTCTCATAAACATTTTATCAGGTGTGAACTGTAAGTGTCACACCCTGTCCTGTCTCCCCATTCTGTTCAGTCCTGATGTCGCCGTCGTCGTCTTCCTCCGCTTATCCGGGTCTGGGTCGTGGGGACAGCATGCCAACTACGGAGCTCCAGACCGTCCTCTCCCTGGCCATCTCCTCTCCCTGGCCATCTCCACCAGCTCCTCCGGCAGGACCCCAAGGCGTTCCCGGACCAGATTGGAGATGTAACCTCTCCAACGTGTCCTGGGTCGACCCGGGGGCCTTCTGCCGGCAGAGCATGCCCGAAACACCTCCCCAGGGAGGCGTCCTGGAGGCATCCTGACCAGATGCCCAAATCACCTCAACTGACTCCTCTCGATCCAGAGGAGCAGCGGTTCTACTCCGAGTCCCTCCCGAATGTCTGAGCTCCTCACCCTATCTCTAAGGCTGAGCCCGGCCACCCTACAGAGGAAACTCATTTTGGCCGCTTGTATCCGCGTTCTCGTTCTTTCGGTCATTACCCAAAGCTCATGACCATAAGTGAGGATTGGGACATAGATCGACCGGTAAATCGAGAGCCTGGCTTTCTGGCTCAGCTCCCTCTTCACCACGACAGATTGGCTCAGCGTCCGCATCACTGCAGACGCTGAACCAATCCGCCTGTCGATATCCCGATCCCTCCTACCCTCACTCGTGAACAAGACCCCAAGATACTTCAACTCCTCCACTTGAGGTAGGACCTCTCTCCCGACCCGGAGTTGGCAAGCCACCCTTTTCCGGTCGAGAACCATGGTCTCAGATTTGGAGGTGCTGATCCTCATCCTAGCCGCTTCACACTCGACCGCGAACCTACCCAGCAAGAGCTGAAGGTCAGAGCTGGATGAAGTTAGGAGGACCACATCATCCGCGAAAAGCAGAGACGAGATTCTCCTACCACCAAACTCAACACACTCCACACCACGACTGCAGCTAGAAATTCTGTCCATAAAGGTAATGAACAGAACCGGTGACAAAGGGCAGCCCTGGTGGAGTCCAACCCTCACCGGGAACAGGTCCGACTTACTACCGGCAATGCGGACCAAACTCACGCTCCTCTGGTAAAGGGACTGAATGGCCCTTAACAGAAAGCCACCCACCCCATACTCCTGGAGAGTCCCCCACAGGGTGCCCCTGGGGACATGGTCTTAAGCCTTCTCCATATCCACAAAACACATGTGAATTGGTTGGGCAAACTCCCATGCTCCCTCCATCACCCTTGCAAGGGCATAGAATTGGTCTACAGTTCCACGGCCAGGACGAAAACCACATTGCTCCTTCTCAATCTGAGATTCAACTATCGATTGGACCCTCCTCTCCAGTACCTTGGAGTAGACCTTTCCAGGGAGGCTGAGGAGTGTGATTCCCCTATAGTTGGAACACACCCTCAGGTTACCCTTCTTAAAGATGGGGACCACCACCTCGGTCTGCCACTCCACAGGAACTGCCCCCGATGACCACGCAATGTTGAAGAGACATGTTAACCACGACAGCCCTACAACATCCATAGCCTTGAGATACCCAGGACGAATCTCATCCGCCCCCGGTGCTCCGCCGCTGTGTAGTTGTTTGACTACCTCAGCAACTTCTGCCCCCGAGATTGGACAGTCCATCCCCAGGTCTCCCGGCTCTGGTTCCTCCTCAGAATGCGCGTAGGTGGGATAAAGGAGCTCCTCAAAGTATTCCTTCCACCATCCGACTATAGCCCCAGTTGACGTCAGCAGCTCTCTATTCCCACTGTAAACAGTGTGAGCGAGTTGCTGCCTCCCTCTCCTGAGGCACCGGACAGTTTGCCAGAAGCTCTTTGGAGCTGATCGATAGTCTTTCTCCATGGCCTCACCAAACTCCTCCCATGCCCGAGATTTTGCCTCGGCAACTGCCACTGCTGCACCCTGCTTGGCTATCCGGTACCTGTCTGCTGCCTCTAGAGACCCACAGACTAGCCATGCCCCATAGGCCTCCTTCTTCAGCCTGACGGCTCCCCGAACCTCTGGTGTCCACCAGCGAGTACGGGGGATTCCACCACGACTGGCACCGGCCACATTGCGACCACAGCTAGCAACAGCTGCCTCAACAATCGCAGAGTGGAACAAGGCCCACTCGGAGTCAATTTCCCCCACTGCTCTCGGGACGCAGTCAAAGCTCTGCCGGAGGTGGGAGTTGAAGACCGTCTTGACAGGTTCTTCTGCCAGGCGTTCCCAGCAGACCCTCACTATGCGTTTGGGTCTGCCAGGTCTATGCGGCATCACCCCCTGCCATCTGATCCAACTCACCACCAGGTGGTGATCAGTTGACAGCTCCGCTCCTCTCTTCACTCAGTGTCCAAAACATACGGCCGCAGGTCAGATGATACGACTACAAATTCTATCATCGACCTGCGCCCTAGGCGGCCTGTTACCAAGTGTACCGATGGGCATCCTTATGTTCGAACATGGTGTTCGTTATGGCCAAACTGCGGCTTGCACAGAAGTCCAATAACGAAACACCACTCGAGTTCAGATCAGGCGGGCCATTCCTCCCAATCACACCCCTCCAGGTCATGCTGTCATTGCCCACGTGAGCAGTGAAGTCCCCCAACAGGACAATGGAGTCCCCTGATGGAGCAATATCTAGCACTCGTCCCAGGGACTCCAAAAAGGGTGGGTACTCTGAACTGATATTAGGCCCATAAGCACAAACAACAGTCAGGACCCATTCCCCGACCCGAAGGCGCAGGGAAGCTACCCTCTCGTCCCCAGGGGTGAACCCCAACACGGTCTTGGGGCTAACAAAAAGCCAATCCCAGCCCTCCGCCTCTCACCCAGAGCAACTCCAGCAAAGGAGAGTGTCCAACCCCTCTCAAGGACTTGGGTTCCAGAGCCGATGCTATGTGTCGAGGTGAGTCCGACTATATCTAGCCGGTACTGCTCAACCTCTGCCACAAGCTCCTGCTCCTTCCTCGCCAGCGAGGTGACGTTCCATGTCCCCAATAACCAGTTTCCTTGTCCGGGGATCGGACCGCCAAGGCTCCTGCCTCGGTCTGCCACCCGATCCACACTGCACCGGACCCTTCATGTTCCTCCTGCGGGTGGTGGGTCCACAGTTGGATGAGCCCACGTATCCGGTTCGGGCTGGGCCCGGCCGGGCCCCATGGGCGAAAGCCTGGCCACCAGGCGCTCGCTCACGGGCCCCAACCCTAGGCCTGGCTCCAGGGTGGGACCCCGGTAACCCTCTGGGCCGGGTACTCAGACTCCTTGATAGTTCATCCATGAAAGATTTTCTGAACCGTTCTTTGTCTCACCCTTCACCTAAGACCAATTTGTCATGGGAGACCCTACCAGGGGCACAAAGTGCCCCAGACAACATAGCTCCTAGGATCATTAGGGCACTCAAACTCCTCCACCACGATATGGTGACGGTTCAAGGAGGAGCCTCTTGTCTTTCAATCACTCCAGGTCCCAGCTCCTCGTGTATTTAAACCCTCTCGTTCTTGTTTGTCTTGTTGGTTCATTGTTTCCTTGTACTCAGTGGCGAATTTAGCAATTTGGGGGCCCAAGGCGAACACAGAAATGGGCCCCCTTTCACTAAATTTTCGACAATCTTACTTTTATCTTGATTTGCGAAACTCTCCCCTCTTCTGACACGAGTTATTTTCCCTTTCTATTAGTCCTCCTCTTTTTTCCCGTATTTCTCTCCCTTTGAGCACTTTCAATATTTGCTCTGCTTTCTTTTTCCTGCCAGTGCTCCTGTGCTTTTGCCTTTGTTTTTTTTTTCTATTTTCCATTTTGGTCTACGTTTTCCTCCCTTTAAACATTTTCCATTGTCTTTCCTTTCTGCTTCCTTTTGATGTTTACATCGAAAAACGACGTCACTTTCAGAAGTGAAAATAAAAGCTTTTATGAAGCATGCTGATTCTTTCTCTTATTGGAGCCATTAGGATAACTCCATTTCATGCTTAATGTTTTGACTATCGCTTTGAGTTTGTTACGAACGCTCCCGCCTCTCTTCTTCTTCTTATTTGTGGTCTGATGGCACTTGGCAAACAAATTTATTGCATTACCGGCACCAACTGGATTGGAATGGAATGACTACCAATCACTTCCTGTTTGTGCATCGCCGTCTTAATAACCCTCTTATGACCATAATTATAACAGGGCCGTCTGGTATTTTTTTCTTATGGCTGTAAAATTGTAATAAAAAGTGCAAAGTGTGTGTAACTCTTCTCCTTTTTTCAGAACAACCTCAGCTTTTAGTGTATGGTTTGTATTTAGAATTTATTTCTATTAAAGCCTTTAAAAAATCAGCTGAAAAGTGAAAAAAGCAAAAAACGGATTTGAATTTTTTACATTTATTACGAACTGTAATGCTTCAATTCTTAAAAAAGTTTGAACCTTGGTATCTTTTTTAGCAGTTTTTAAGACCATTTATTTTTGTAAACTTTCAGACGTTTTTATTTGATGTGGTAGACCTTGACGCAGTTTTTCTCCAGCTGCAGGCAGAGTTCTGCACACCTCACACTGCCATGGGGTGCTTCTCTTGCACACCGTGCACTGCTGTACCAAAAACTTTTGTTTTAGCAAAAATAATTATTCATTGTAAAAAGATAAATAATGCTGGAATGAAGCTGAATCTTACAATTAGCAAATATTTGAGGGTTGTTCAAATAAAAACTAAAAAACAAAGACTGAACAAACATTCATACCCTGGTTCACTGGAGATCTGTCCTTCTTCGTGGTCACTGTCTTCAGATATAAGCCTTCTGAGACACCTAATAGATCGTGTTGATTTTCTTTGAGGCATTTCCATAATTTCATGCCGGCTTTTTATGCTAATTAGCTTCCCCGTTCCGTTATCCGCTTTCACCGCGGGGCTGCGCTCTGTGCTCCGTTTCAATCAGGCTGTACAGCAGGATTTCCCCTCGTAGCGATATTTTCCATAACGCTGATTGATTCATGCTATATTGGAAAGCTGCTTTTATGTACTTTTAGGAACCGTTGGAATTATTTGAATCTGATCAGCCATTCAAAAGTTATAAAACGGAGCATTTTTGATGACAAACTCAGCACGTCTCTGAATCTGTGTTGTGATTCATTGCGCTCAAGACAGGGAATCCCGGTGGCTACCGTAATGCATTGTATATGCTCGAAACGCCCCATTTTTAATCTTTTCAGCACTTTTGGGATTTTAATGATATCTTGAACGGTTCAGGAATTATGGTCATGAGAAGTGCGCATGTCCAATCCCGTCTGCGGCCACAGGTTGGTAATAAGAATATTGTGGCATTAACAGAGGGGTGCTGGCGGTCAGGGCTAGGGGGCCCCCCAACATAAGAGGGCCCCAGGCGTTTGCCGACCTATGCCTAATGGTAAAACCACCACTGTTTGTCCTGCACGCTCATGAATAAAACCCCTTTTGCCTGCTTCTTCCCCTGCGTTTGGGTCCTTACTTCCGGCTCAGCTCACCAGCACGTGTGACAGAATGAACCAACGACTCAGAGGATCCAGCGGGGAAGTCCTGCCCTGGGACAGTCTGCTCCCAGGCTCTCTCCCAGTTTCAGCACCGCATCCCCTCCTCCAGCGCCACCTTGCCACAGATGCTGCCGTCAAACCTCGGCCTCGGCGATCCCCTCCACCCTCCCGAAGCCAGATGGGAGGTTGGGCTGGGAGCCACAGCTGGACCGCTCCTGCTTTGTTGGCACCAGACTGGCTGTGTTCTCCCCTGAAATTGGTCCCCAGCGCTGAGAGGGAACCCAGGCCCCGCCGTCGCCTCCAGCCCAGGAGCTGCGCCGCGGGCGCACCGTGGCTCCGGTTGACGTCACCCCCAACTGCACAGTCTCCTCCCACTCCAGGGAGGCCAGGAGAGGGAGCAAACCGGCGGTCCACCCGGTGGCGTTTGCCCTTCTCCAGGCTGAGCTGGTCAGGCTGAAAGATCTTATCAGCCTCCTGGAGTACCAGATTGAGGAATTTACCACCCTGATTCTCCAGGCCACCTCACCAGCTCAGCCCGAGCTTTGTCTGTCCTCTGGGAGCGGCACCACTCCAGACCAGTCAGCGCCAGGTCCTGCGCCTCCCGTCCAGTCAGTGGCAGCGGCTCCACCTCCAGTCGAGTCAGCGGCAGCAGCTCCGCCTCCTGTCAAGTCAGCGGCAGCGGCTCCACCCTAAGTCAAGTCAGCGGCCCCTCCCCAAGTCAAGTTAGCGGCCTCACCCCGAGTCAAGTTAGCGGCACAGGCCCCACCCCGAGTCAAGTCAGTGGCAGCAGCCCCGCTTCGAGTCAAGTCAGTAGCAGTGGCCCCACCTTGAGCCAAGTCCCCGGCAAAGGCCCCACCTTGAGTCGAGTCCCTGGCAGCGGCCCCACCTCAAGTCAAGTCCCCAGCCCAGCCTGTGCAAGAGGCTCCGCCTGCAGCGGCTCTGCCTCCAGTCAAGTCAGCGGCAGCGGCTCCGCCCCGAGTCAAGTCAGTGGAAGCGGCCCCACCCCGAGTCAAGTCAGCGGTCCCGCCCCAAGTCAAGTCAGCGGCAGTGGCGGCAGCGGCCCCGCCTCGAGTCAAGTCAGGCGGCAGCGGCCCCGCCTCGAACCAAGTCCCCGGCAGCGGCCCCGCCTCGAGTCAAGTCCCCGGCCCAGCCTGTGCAAGAGGCTCCGCCTGCAGCGGTGCCTCCAGTCAAGTTGTCGGCGCCACATCCTGTGCCTCACTTCAAGTCGTTGGCGGCCCCTCCTGCAACGACTCCGCCTACAGTCAAGTCGGCGCCTCCTCAAACCAAGTCAGAGACGCCGCCTCTCCTCAAGTCAGAGGCTCCACCGCCACTCAGGTCAGAGACTCCACCTTCCCTCAAGTCTGCGCCTCCACTCAGGTCGGTGCCTCCAGTCACTGCTAGCCCTGTCTTTGTCCATCGCCTCCCGTGCCCCAGATGCCAGTCCCCCAAACGCCTTCTTGGGCGTTGGGCGTCCGGTGCTGCCCTTTTTTTGGGGGGGTGCTGTCACACCCTGTCCTGTCTCCCCATTCTTTTCAGTCCTGTGTCCATGTTAATTGCTCCCACCTGCCTCTCGTCTTCCAGTCACTCCAGGTCCCAGTTCCTCATGTATTTAAACCCTCTCGTTCTTGTTTGTCTTGTCGGTTCATTGTTTCCTTGTCCTGCGTGCTCATGATTGAAACCCCCTTTTAACATTCCTGTCTGCCGTCTTGCCTGCTTCTTCCTCTGCGTTTGGGTCCTCACCTCCGGCTCAGCTCACCAGCGTGCGTGACACTAAGTGGATGATTTTATCCTAACATACCATAAGTCTGTACTATGAATAGTTATACTGACACAATTTACCAGAGTCTATTTTTATTATTAATCAGAAAGAAGGGAAAATGTTGTGATGTTTTTTACTGATTAATGTAAATAATAAAGTGTTGAGATGAAAACTGGACTGCTTAGTGTAACCTAGCAGACACCAGATAAGAAAAAAAGTATTTTAACATATCATGATATTAAATAATAAAATACATTTAAAATGAAATGTTTTCATTTTTTCCTGCAGATGTTTGCAGCTCACCAAAAATAGATCTGACAGACAAGAAATCATCTCAATCCTCAAACTACACTGATGGCAGCACAATCTTCTCCTCTAACAGAGCCTTTGATGGAGATCGTTCAGCATGTTCTCACACTCTACAGCAGGAAAACTCCTGGTGGAGCATCGACCTGCAGGGAGTTTACAACATTTCCTGTCCTCCATCTACAACAAAATTGCAGATAACGCTGATATATCAGGCTCTCAGATCTACATCGGCTTCTCTCAGCAGAACAACAGAACCAACAACCCTCTGTAAGGACCTGACTTAAACTGGACTGTACCATTTATGAGATAAACCACTGATGGTTGCATCTAAACCTGGAATGTTAAGAGCTTTTCCACCAGAATAAACCTTTTCCTACCTGACAGCACCAGTAACATTTTAGCTCCACGGCCTCAGTTCTGCTCCTCATCTCTGTGATAACTCTGTTTTTTGTCTCCCTGTTATTTCTCATTCAGGGTTCAGAACATCACGGACTTCCGAAAAGGACATATTAATATGTATTATTTTTCCAGCCCTGTGTTGGGGCGCTACGTCACTGTGATCACACCACACAACCTCCACATGATTCTGTGTGACGTGAACATCACAGGAACACAAGTAGGTAGGTGTGATGTTCTCAGCCATGTGTGTTTAGTAGCTGCAGGTGAGCTGATGCTTAAGAGTTTGTTGTCTCTCTCTCAAGAATCACCATTTGAACTGATTCCCACTAACATGATCTGGGAAGAGGCCCTGTACTACTGCAGAGATCGGTACAGAGATCTGGCCTCCATCCTGGATGAACAGACTCAGGCCTTTGCTGAGCTGGAGGCTGAGAAGGCCCACAGTCCCTTTGTGTGGATGGGACTTCACTACACCTGCACCCTGGATTTCTGGTTCTGGGTTGATGATAACGTTGTTGGGTTTAAACGCTGGAATCAGACGGGTAAAATAGAAGACTGTGACATGAGCGGAGCCATGGAGACACGAGGAGACCATTTCTGGTTTAGCAAGTCAGACTATAAAGAGTTTAATTTCATCTGTGCAAAGTAAGCTGTTATATTATTTATTTCTATATTTTGTTTTAAATCAGAGTGAAAAAAGATTTGGGTTTGTGTTTCTTGCACTCACACCAGAACTGTCTTGTGTTGAAAGTTTGCGAAAGTCTGTTTCATTTTAACCATAATTATCAGAAAACTGCTACTCATTTCTTTTTGAGATAGTTTTAGGAATAAAATATTAATGTAATCCTTTAAAGCTTAACACATGAAATAGTAATTAGTAATAAATGTATATAAAAAAATAAAACCGGTTGCAGATTTTAAAATAACAGATTTATGTATTTTTATTACACAACACCAGTAACAAAAGCATCAGTTAGGAACTTAGGAATTCCACTAAAGGACAGAAGACAAGAGTACATCATCAGTTTAATTATGTCATTTTATTTTATGTATCAGTTAATTGTATTTGTTGGTGTTCCTCTGCTAATGTAAGGGTTGAATATGGAACAATTTATTTAAAAAGTTATATTTTTTTTAGCAATAATACGTCCTTGTGGAATTTAGAGCTCTTCAGAATGAATGTACAATGTTTCCTTTAAAAGCATATGTTAATTTTTAAATAAACATTTATTTTGATGGGATCGACACTGGGTTTATGTTTACATCTACCAGCCAATAGAGGGCGCCATTGTAGGCTGTCAAACAGTCTGCTCGGCACAGCAAGTCTGGCACTGTGGAAAATGGGGACTCTGCAAGTCAACCAGCAGCCAGATGATGTGGTTACCCTCTCAGAAAAGGAGCAACCATAAAGGATCTAAAACCAGAGAGAGTTTAGGTGAAGCCCACAACAGATCGACCCAAATAAAACATTTCACATATCGGCAGCAAACCTGGAAACCTTGTTCTATTGTTGCAGCTACAACCTCCACACACTAGATGTTGCTACTGTATTCCATATTCCCCCTTTAAACTCTGTTCTTAGTTTCACTGACTTGTTTAAACTGTTTTACACGTATTGTTGCTGTAACCTCTGATAAAATGGCAGGAAGGATCAGGAGTCTCACAGCTTCCAGGATAATAAAAATGACACTCATGTAAAGCACAGACCAGCGTTTCCACTTTGGTTTTATCTTCATGAGTCAGGGAGAACACAGAGTGAGGCAGTTTATTATAACAAATCTGAGATGGGAGAACTTAGAGAACTTAGACGGATTCAACTTGTGTCTGATGAGTTAAAACACCGTCTACAGGTGACCTAACGTAAGGTCTCTGTTCTGTTTCTACAGAAGAGTTTAAGATTTGACCTTTAATTTGATTCCATTTATGTTATTAGAAGGTAAAACTGTTTTATCTGTAAACTTCAGTCCACTTTTGTAAAATCTTGATATTTGTAGCCAGAACTCTTTTCTATCTTCTCTCATTGTAGTTATTAATTATTGTTTCTGAAACCTGTTCAGTAATCATGATTTTCAAGTTTTCAGAGCTTTATTACTTTATTAATAAAATCCTGGAGGATCCCAAAGTGTTTTCAGGCCTGAGAGGATATAAAATCCTGGGTCTGAGCCCAGGTCTCCTCTCAGAGCCCAGAAACCCTCCAGAGAAAGGTCTCCACAAGGCATCCTGGTCAGATGCTAGATCCATCTCAACTGTCAAGGATTCAGGCTGGAGCTCACTATTCAGTTGAGATGTTTACAGTTTTTCTCAATTGTTTACACACATTTTCTGAAAGCATGCCCCATATTTTCAGAACTCTACACACAAATCCAGAAAATACACACACAATGGGCAAAACCCCTCACTTAACCTGCAAAATTAAACTTCACATTCAAAACAACGTAATTTCTCCTCAAAATGTGATTTTGTTGTCAAATGACACACACAAACCATCATATGAATAGACATTTATAAGAACCAGCAGAACACTCATGTGCTCAATGTTAAACACTATGATGAATGGAAAACACGTCTTCTCCATTCATCATAATGACTAAAGCCTTTTTGGTTCAGTGTTACACCTACTACAGACAGTAAATACATGCATGTGTTGTTATTTCAGAATACTGTTTTTACACTCTGAACACACAAATACATGGTAGAAATTATTTTATTTTTCCCACAAAACATTGTACACAATGCTTATCCCATTCCCAACCAACACAAAGTTGCATACATAAACTACATCCAACAGAAAGTTACTGTATACAGTTACAGTAAAACAATAAAACTATGCTGCTTCCTCTCTTCTGTTGCGGTCTGGCCACAGCGCCTCATCCACATCACAAGCAATGTTGTCCCTGGCCAAGCAGCGGGGGACATATCTCCTAGCATGGCGATTCCAGCCATGAAAACAATCAGCTGCTATATCTCCACATGCATCCTCCATAGCTTGGAGAAGAGGTATACTGGTTTGTGGCTGTCGGTTATACACCTTCCACCTCCATGCAGAAAAAAATTCCTCAATGGGATTGAGGAATGGAGAATACGGAGGGAGATAAACAACTAAAAAGCGTGGGTGGCCAGTGAACCAGTTATGAACCACAGCAGCCCTGTGGAAACTTACGTTGTCCCGAATGACAACGTACCTGGGCTGTTCTGGACCATCTACCTGGTCTGGTGGAGTGAGTGTGTGGTGTAGGGTGTCCAGGAATGTGATCAGATGGGCGGAGTTGTAGGGGCCAAGGGTAGCATGGTGATGGATGATGCCATGGTAGCCAAGCGCTGCACACATTCCCTCCGCGCTGGCCAGGGACTTCAACAATGGCACGCTGGCCAATGATATTCCTTCCCCTCTTTCGTCTTTTTGTGAGATTGAATCCAACCTCATCAGTGAAGATGAACTGGTGCTCCACTGCAGCTGTCTCCAGCTCAAGGACTCTCTGAAACACATATGACAATATCAGAAATAAACGTGGAGTGGTCACTAGTGTGAAGCACAGTCATTATGATTACAATACTGAAATATGTATAATTTACTGTACGCAGTGTTGAGTGTATGCATCAATTGCGGGACTCACTTGCACATAGTTATATCACAATTCTTTGACTCTTTCTGAGTTTCCTTCAAATTGCACCCTGTTGACCTGTGGCTCAGATCTCATCAGAGATTACGGTCCTTAGTCTTCCTCTTCCTCATCCTCCCCGTCCTCCTCCTCTTACTCTCACTCCTCTGGCTCTGCCTCTGTTTCCAAAGTTGGCATCCATTGCTCCAACACAGAAGAGCTCACCTGTTGCCCTTTTATGCTAAAGTTCTGTTTGTTGATTGTAAAACTGTGTGACAGGTGTTTGCCCTTGTGATGAGTCAGTGTGCACATTTGAATAGCTGTGTGTTCCTTGTGAGAACAAGATAGTTCCTGTATGAAAATTGTGCCAACAGCAGAGAATTATGTGTAGTGTTTTGAGAAAAGTGTGTTTTAGTTTTGAAATTTGAGTGCAAAGCAGGAATCGTGCTTGTAGTTTCGCAAAATTGGTTAGGGGGGTTGGTTACTTGGTTACATGTTGTGGTAATTGTGTCTCAAATACCAGAAAATGTGTGTAAACAATTGAGAAAAACTGTAATAAGAAGTAAAACATGAAATAATAACCTCTTATTGAACATCTCAACTGAGTAGTGAGCTCCAGCCTGTTCCTTGTCTTTTACTTCAGCTGTGGAGAAACTTTATTAATGTTGGACGATGCAAAGAGCACTTCACATGTAGTCATCTTCCAGATGTGTGGTTTAACGCTGTCATAGTGCTATTTGATGTCAAACATCTTCATTTCTGTTTCAGTGCAGTCTGCAGAAGGAAAGACACTTTCCCTCTCATCCTAAGATTTAAAATAAATGTAAATCATTTACTTATTTATTCTTTTTTATAAAGTAAATCTTTTAACAGCATCTTTTCATCCTAACTTCTGACCCTTGCAGAGGACAAAGTGCAGGTTTCAAGATTTCAATGAAATAAAGGTTCTGTTTTCAAATGAACAAAAAACATGTTTTAAACGTCCAGCTAAAAATGTTCTTGAACAGGATTAATGCAGCTTGTCTAACACAAAGCCCCCACTGCTGAGTGAGAGAATTTCAATTCAATTCAATTCAATTCAAGTTTATTTATGTAGCGCCAAATCACGACAAGAGTCGTCTCAAGGCACTTCACATAATAAACATTCCAATTCACAGTTCATTAAGCCAATCAGAAATAATGTTTCCTATATAAGGAAGAGAATGTATTTCCATCCCTCTTCATGAATTCAGTTACCCATAATGAGCAAACCTGTAACACACGATGCAAAGTAAACGTCTGAATTTGCTACGATTTCTCAGTTACAGATTTGATGAACCACCCAACTGGGGATTTTCTAACAATCTTGTGTCAAACTCATCCATTCTGACAGAGTTTTGTGTTTAAAATAAAAACACGACTTTAATGATAATGCTGCCACCGTTCTCTAGTCGATCTTGTCTTTTGTATTTCATCTTGGAGAGATAAAAATCTAAATGTAAAGGCCATCTACATGTAATCTACAATATCTCATCTAACAAATTAAATGAGAATCTAAAAAGAAAATGTTGACGTATAAAAAACACATTTAAATGTTTTAATGAGAAGTTTTGTATGGTCATGGTACAGAAGGACAGAACAGAAGACTGCATGAGCGGAGACACAATGAGACCATTTTTAGAGAGCCTGACTAAGAGTTTTTGACAACCAGACTAGGTGATTACTGTCATGAGATTCATGAATAATATTTGTCTGTTTTGATCCTTTTCTCATTCACATCAGGTCCAGACTGGTTATGTGTTGTAAAGTCTGGTTTTAGAACAAATGCCATAAGCTGACTTTAGAAGGTCAGGTGAGCTTTTTACAAACTTCTGATTTCAAAACCGGCTCAAACTGGTCTAAGCTAATGTTAACACCAGACTGTCATGGATCCAGGTTAAGAAAACAAAACTGCATCCATGCTGCTGTACAAAAATGGTATGAAGATGTAATGATCCACTGGCAAGACCCAGAAATTCAGCCACACAACACAGGATAAGCGGTAAAAGATGTTTTATTGAATCGAACTGAGGATGGTTGCTTGGGATGAAAGAAGAGCTGCAGGCAGAGAGAGAGAGAGAGAGAGAGAGAGAGAGAGAGAGAGAGAGAGAGAGAGAGAGA